TGAGGGTTGCTGGGCGGGCTGTGTAATTTTTTTATAATGTGGATGGTCATGTGGGTGGTCATGTGAGGGGGGGTAGGTGAGGGGTTTGGATGTGGGATGAGAATGGTCTATGGTTTGTGATTTTTGATGACGATGTGAGTAGTTTTGAAGTTGCTGGTCAATGGTAGATTGGTGGATTGGTGCGCGGGAAAGAGTTTCTGGTTACATTTTATGGTTAGATTGGGTTGGGTTGAGAGTGGTGATCTTTTTTTTTTTTGGTATTTGGGGTTGGGCTTGGATTTATTTTGGGGGCTGGGTGGCGGAACGGGGGGGGGAGGAGTAGGTAGGGGAGATTGATTCTGGGATCTTGGGATGGGAGACGAAATGGAAGTAGTTTGAGTGTAGTGGATTAGCTTATGCTCATTTGAATCGTTGATTGAAATTGTGTGGTTTCAATCTCGAGCTGGAGCTTTTAAAGGAGTAAGTACCTAGTAATTATTAGTATCATGATATGAGGGCGGGATAAGCTCACCGGGAAATTGAAATGTAAAATAGGCACAAGGGAGGGGGGCGGGGGGGGTACTATCTTGAGTACTAACTAGTAAATCGATTGGTTTGTAGGTGTATATCTACTCATTGAAGCTTGATCAAATATCTGTTTTTATAGTAATATAGAGATATATTGTATACGAATTTTGTTTATCTGCAAACTTTTACATGGTTAAGAATATATTTTCTTTTTTGTTGGATCCCGATGTGGACCTCAACACATGATATTACAGTCGAATAAAAATGTAAATTAAGTGAACATTTTTTTCATTATGAATCTGATTCTTGTAAATGGAGCATATGAATCTTCTAAAAATGGAAATTTGATAGATGCTAAGGAATTATTTCACAATCTAGAGTGTTCTATTTCGGAGTTTAATCTGGTAATGTAAGTATGAGGTGCTCACCGGGAGCGATTGAATTTATGAACTTGTTTATATACGTTTTCTGGACTGTATGCGAGCTGATGTAATGAACGGAGGGATTCTTCATGTTAAGTTGAATACACTGGATATTTTTAAGTTTTGAGAGACCCAATCGGTGACTGCAATATGAGTTTGAACGAAATTCTTACAAGTATTCAAGAGAAATGAACGATATTCAGAATACCTTTCCCGTTTTGGAAAATGAAATTGACGTCGGGAGTAGGCACTTGTTTCGGTTTGCTAATTGAGGGCATTTATAATACAGTACACGTATCTGGTAGAGTTGATCTCCTCGCTTTTTTGTACGTAAATTTACTCTAGAAGTCTACAATAATATCTAATTGCGAAACTCAATTCGTCATATGTAATGATATAAATCTTCTATCAACTCTTTCAAGGAGGAACATATCATCGCATAATCAGACTTCATGCATTATGTCTAAGTCTCAACATCAATTTGCATGCTCTGTCATGCTGAATGTGATGGTGAGCAGCATGTAAAGTCTTCCTGCGCAAGCACACGAACCTACTCTTTAGTGTCTTTGATAATCGTAATTCTAGACGCGACCTCCATTCCCCCTCAAGATATATTGAAGTGAGTATAGAATCAATGCCAATATCAAGGTACATATCGTAGAGGTAGGATCTGATTCAGACACATTACGAGAGTGACAAATTCCTCGAGTAGAATTTGGGAAGCTATTAGCCAGTACAGTAGACAACCAACCCAAATTCGGACGACCTGATGTGTATAATTTATACTGAAGGGTGCAGTAGATGTCTTGAACTGATAAATCAAGCATTGAAGCATATTCACCGGCGGCCTGGCGAGCATACATAGCTTCAAGATTTTAGCAGGGGTTTTAATTGCCGAAGATTTGAAGGATGAAGATTAGCGATGTTCGGCAACTGGTTGTAGCGTTTAAGTGTCATCTATCGGATCAAGACAGTATAGATTGAACATAGTAATAGTGTCAACTTCGGAGACTCTCAAGATGCGTAACAGCCCGTTTAGACGTACTGTTCGTTGATCACATGCTTGGGTTGACTTTCGCTGATGCACTACACTAAGCGACTGAGCAGCCTAATTGTTGAATTGTCTTTCGATTTATTGGATATGATATCAATGAACATGCAAAGAAATTTTACAATTTTACAGATACTTTTATTGATTGTACCCCTTCGGAGAAAGTACGTGCCAGCTAAGAATTTGTCTGGAGTCAACAATCGTGGAATATTTTTTGAGATATGCAACAAAACTTTTCCGGCCTCGTCTTGTTGACTGTAAGTCCTAAAACAATCTTACCCCATACAATTCACTGCTTGTACGGAAAAAAATCAGTATCCGAATACTCATTTGAGATATGCAATAAACAGTCTTACTGAATGCTCTCTTTCATAAGGTCAATATTTAGCAGCCTAAGAGCGGAGAAATATGGCATAGTGAGGATAGAAATAACGGGAAATTTGTTAGAAACAAGAGTAGATATAGTTCCTGCTAAGAATCGCTATACTTGTACTCGTAGTAGCTGTTGGAGATGTAGATGCCACATCTTAGGAAAATTGAGGATGTATGATGCTAGTCAAAACACCGATGACTTTCTTTTCGAATTCGGAAAAATTTAAGAGCAATCAGGTAGGATCGAACCAATCATCAAACTGATTGAGAGCCTGAAATTTTGGGAGAGATGAAATCGGCGATAAAACACTTGTGGCCGGAAAATAGTAACGTACAAATATCTAGACCCTTTAAACGTAAGAGACACACACGTAGAGCAAGCCGTTTGCGCATGAGTCGTCAAGTTTTGACTTGTAAATTCAAAGCCGGAGGAGACGAATCGCTAAACCTATTGACTCAATTTACTTGTGGTTGCTATGCTCAGGCGTTGTCAGGTGATGAAACAAGGGGGTAGTGAGGGAGTCAGGTACGAGAAGCAGCCAGAAGAAGTAAGGAAGAAATGGAAGGTAGTAAATATTATTTCTGTGTGATCGGGGGCTGGGATAAAGGCTAAGGCTGCTCATGAAATTTATGTTGCATAGCAATATACTATCTTAATTGTTACTGCTTACCCATGCCGACTACCCATAATGTGAGGAGGTATATATACCTAGGTAGGTAAGGTATAGGTAACGTGGAGGCGCCATAATAAGTAAATCGACATGGGGCAGTTAGACGAAGTTCATTACAAGATAATAGCAAGGGATCTGGCCCATGTCAAAACGACTAACTTATTAGATTGAGCAAGACGTTTAACGCGCTGTATTAGAGACGGATGTCTAGAGATACGTTTCTTAATGCGTGGTTACATTTGATAATCGTGACTGTTTTAAAGTGAATTATAGGGAAGAGTCGTTGCGGGAAAATCTTTCAAAGGAGTGTTGTGGGGTAGGAAACTAAGAGATATTAACCATAGGAAACTTTTGGGTAAGGCCTGGACGTCATGGAAACTGGGACAAATGAATGCGTGGGGAAAAGATCAAACGATCAGTTGGGACTGCGCACTTGCAAATTAATGCTCAAGAAATATCTGGACTGGACTCTCGAGAAACTTGGATTGTGATTGTAAAATGCGAACTGCTGAAATCGAATTGTGAGATCCGAAATAGGGCCATTGAAACTTGTCAGGTTCTGGAATATTGACGAAAGCAAAACTCCTCCACCCATGACTATATCCACCATATTAAATGCCAGAGATCGTATAATATCCTCGATGTCGCTTGTATTAATTTGTCGGTATGAAGGCACCTCCAGATTCACATCACAATTGACCCAACATTCTCCAAGTATTCTCATGATCGGCAACTGAGATTTTGTCAAAATGTACATTTTATTCACGTTTGCAACGTGGAAAGCAAGCTTCATAAACATTTTTTAATGGAGATGCTGCATTCCTAGCTCATGATGCGACTAGACCATGTAAATAAACCCCATTCCGACCCGATGACGCTGAAGAATTGTTCAAAATCCTGTGATGAATGTTAGCTCGCCCAATTCTTCACACAAAACTCCCCGAAGAAAAAAAAAACGTACTGAGAGGAGTGAAGAACCATCTGTTCTTTCCTGATGTGTATCTCTCCTCCAAAGCCTTCTTGACGGTCTTCTTGGCCTCCTCACGTTGAGAAACCTCCTTGAAGGTATCTGCGGAAACGACACCCTTCAATCCCTCCAATTCAAGAGTGTAACGTGTTGGCATCAAGTGGTTGTAGTTGATGACCTTGATGAAAGGCTTGACCTTGCTGCGCTTGGTTTGCTTGGCCTTGGACATACGGCGGGTGATTTGGGATGGGTAACGCTCGATACCGGCGACCAATGCGTGAGGGTATGGGTGGGACTTGTTGCCGGCATCCTGGGGTTGGATGATCACGACCTGTAATTATTCCTCCATCAGCAGATATTCCTTACAATTCCAATTCGAGTAGTCCATTTGTCGTCGCTCTTTGGTTCATAAAATTGCTGGATTGAATTCGTATTTTCGTAATAAATGGTAAACAAATGGTGAAGAGTGAAAATTTACCTTCTTTCCGGCATATCTGCCTCTGGTGATGATGGCAACACGGCCGGTCTTGAGGACTGTAAGTTCAAATTAGAATCTTCGTAATCTCGCGATCTATCATTCCGGAGTAAACGTACACTTCATGTCGACTGTGGTTAGTTGTCGAAGGGTTTGTCGTAGTCGTAGTTAATTCGAGGTTATTCAGAATTCTTTTCCTAAAATCTAGCTCGGTGCGAAAGAGCCCTCGCTTATCACACACGTGATGGTGGCGCTAAAAAGATGTGGCTGGTAAGAAAAAAAGATGTGGCTATCGAGTAAGAGCCCAATTAGGATTTGATTGGCTATCAATTGTCCGTATCAATTTCATCGTACTGATTGATTCGCGCTAATCAATTTATCCTCAAACTGTCCGTGCTTAGTGGTTGCCCCGCTGCGTCCCCAGCCAGCTCACGAAAAGTAAATAAACAGGTCTTGACCGCCGTGTTTTACTTTATGGATTCCTTTCAAACTTCTTAATGAAAAAACCAGAGACACTCTATGCTCAGTCGATACCCAATGCCACTTGGCAATTACAATTAATACAATCATAACCATCCTTGACATTTTGCATAATTTGGGGTTTATTCCAATTTCCTCTTCACATCAAGTCACTCCATTATATTTGGATTTTGTATCGCGAAGTTGCTCGAGTACATACATACTACTGGACCTTCTCCACATAATCAACATTCCACATAAACACATTCCGGGGATTTATCCTCCGCAATGCCTTCTTCAGAGAGAGAATCTTCTCGCGATGGCGATAGACTTGCTCTTGTACATAGAAATTCCGCGCATTCCATATCCTCATCAATAGATTCTGGACGAGCAATTGTTCCAATGTAAGCTTTTATCTATCTCATCTATAGGTCAACACATTTCTGACTCTGATTCTGCAGGTGGGATAGTTCTGATCCAGAACGCGCACCTCCTCCACTTCCCATGAACCCCTCATCCCCGAGTGTCTCATCACGAGGAACTTCGGCTGCTATCAAATCTGCACATGCGGCACTTACTGAAAGAGCTCGCGACAATACTTATTTCATCAACATACCACCCCCAAAGCGCCTCACAGAACCATCTCCCGAACGTTTACTGATCAAGGGTACTGCTCCCGGTCATAAACGAATGCAATCTCTGCAAAATGGTAGCGTTAGAGATTTGAGTAGTTTTATTGAAAGTGGAACTTTCGGTCCATTGAAACCTCCAGAGAAAATAACAGCAAGACCTCCTACACCACACGCCAGCAAGGATTTCTCATTCGACCAGTCGCCAGAGAAGTTTTCCGACAAGATGTCAGATAAAGATTCGGTTCGAGCCACTACACCTACGAAAAGAGCCGAGTCGCCTCGGGAAAGACGCGACTCTATGCATGTACGACCTTCACTACGCCGGCCACCCCATGGTGGGTACGGTGAAAACACGCCTCCTCAATCAGCCACGATGCAGGCTCTTCACAACATGACGACCAAGGAAACAGATCCACCTCTTGCCAATGTCACCAATGGCTCTACTGCTTTAGTGCGACAACCTCAAACGTTCGATGCCATATCAAATCAAATTCTCAGTCTCACCAGTATATGTACCAGCCTCCAGAGGGAAATGGCGCAATTGAGCAGAAGAAGTAAAGATAACGCTACGGATTTGGTTAGTCTTAAGGAAGCGACGAATGCCAGGGATGAGGATATACGCAAGAGTCTCCGAGAACTGGTGACTGGCTTGTCTGACGCTGGCTCCGAGCGTACATTATATGGAGGCAACAATCTTTACGCGGATAGCAAAGGACACGCTTCGCCATCCTCATCACGAAATTCGAAAGGGTTTTCGCTTCCTCGAATCCCTAGCCCAAATAGCTTTGCTGCTTCATTGGATCGAGAAACCTTATTATCTACACCACTTACGAGAGATCACGGTCGAGAACATTTTAGCGACGCTGCTGCGCATGCTGCTAGTGTGGCTCTGCTCGAAAAGGTACTGCGAGAGATGGGCACTAAGGAAGGACAGGAGTTATTGATATCTCGGCTTACGGAAATCGCTGAGCAGCTTGGCCGAGAAGGCATGTCGACAGCCAAAAAGCTAGAGGACTTGGTGGAATTCATCAAGAGAAACACTGAAATCTCTCAAGCTCTAATTGCCCGCCACAACAACAATCGCGAACAAGAGACCAGGGGGCGTAAATATAGCTTTGAAGAGGATTCGACATTGGAGCTAGATTTCGATAGACCGGCTTCTGTCGCACAGAAACTAGAGGCTCTTGTCGCCACTGGAGCAAATAGAGACAGGCGAAAGTCGCAAGGACCCAATCGATCAGGTGAAGTATTAGGTGATGATGTCATCCAAGTTATACGAAGTGTCAAGGATAGCGTCGCTCAAGGAGGTGGCCTTACCGCGGAAGTCAAGGCGCTTGTTCGAGAACTTCGTGGTGAGGTTTTGGGTATGGGGCGAGAGATTGGCAGAAAATTAGATCAAGCCAGCAAGGATGGAGCTTCCAATGGTGCCGATGTCAGTATTGTCGTTCAAAATGGTCTGGAAGAATTGAAAGAGCATATGAATCAACTTATCCGTGAAAGCCGTCGACAAAACTCCGCTTCCGCTTCTACACAGAAGATCGACTACAAAGAAGTCTATAACGTGGTACGCTCAGCGGTAACCGAAAAATCCGAATCGAAAGAAGATATTATCGATGCAGTTCGAGAAGCTTGGGAAAACTACAAACCAGATATCGAATTGCAGCATTTTGGTCTCGAGCGAGAGGAACTATTGGCATGCTTGAAGGAGGGCATTCAAGAGTTCGCGCCTCAGAATGAGCCCGGAGCAACGCGAGAGGAAGTCTTTGCCGCAGTCATTGAAGGATTGAAGCATTTCACTCCACCGCCAGTTGATAACGAATCTCTATCCCGAGACGAAATTCTCGATACCGTTCGTGAATGCCTTGAGGAGTTTGAGTTTCCAGCTGCACCAATGCCAGAGCCTCGCGAACCTGAAATCACGAGAGACGATATGCTTGATGCTGTAGCAGAAGGTCTTAGAACTTTCGACTTTTCTGCAAACCCTACGGCACTCAGTGCAGAGGTTCTTCAAGGTTTTACTCAAACTGAAATGATTCAAGCCGTTAGAGAGGGTCTCAAAGAATTCGACTTTGCTGCTCTCAATCGTGGTCATGATGACATCACAAGAGACGATATGGTGACTGCTATTCGAGAAGGGCTCCAAACATTTGGACTTGCTAACCAGAGTCGTGAAGTGGATGGAGGTGTCACTCGAGATGATGTGGTAGGCGCAGTTACCGAAAGCCTACACACGTTTGACTTCTCCAGCAGTATTCATCCACCACATCATGACGAAGAGGCCATCACTCGCGATGACATGTTCGAAGCTGTAAGAGCAGGTCTTGAAAGCTTCGAATTTCCCACTTTAAGCAGAGAGGTCGGAGATAGTATTAGCCGAGAAGACGTCTCTGATGCCGTGAAAGAGAGTCTCCACAATTTCAACTTTGGCGCATTAATACCAGCCTCTGACCCCGAGGAAAAAGAAACAGGAATTTCTCGGGAGGATGTTTTTGAGGCTGTTAAAGATGGCCTGCAAACATTTGATTCCGCTCTCACACGCGAGGTTGGTGGAAACACCGGCATCAACCGCGGCGACATCCTTGACGCTGTGAAAGAGGGACTTCATACTTTTGATTCTGCTCTTACTAGGGACGTTAGTGGAAGCGGCAATCTTACACGCAACGATGTAATGGATGCTGTCAAGGATGTTTTGACCACTTTCGACTCGGCTCTCATTCGAAAAAATGCCGAGACTGGAGCAACCCGCGAAGAAATTGTCGATGCAATGCAGGAGGTCATGACCAAATTCCATGGTTCATCCATAGCTCAAGGTCCAAGCCAAGGAATCACTCGCGATGATGTCGTTGATGCTGTACAAGAGGTTCTAGAAGGATTCAACTCGGCTCTAACCAAAAATGTCGGAGGTTCTGCAACTCGTGCTGAAGTTTTTGAGGCCATCAAAGTTGGTCTTGAATCACACGAATCTAGTGGTAGCATAACTCGGAATGACGTCCATGAAGTTATCAAAGAGAATCTTCAGAGCTACCATATCGAAAGTGCCCTTACTCGCGACGAAGTCGTGGAGGCCGTTCAAGAAGTATTGACGGCGTTCGATTCTGCATTAACTAAAGATGCTTCTTCGACAGTTACACGAGATGATGTCCTTGGGGCCGTGAAAGAAGGACTTCAAGCGCAGACGTCTAGTATCACGCGCGATGAAGTTCTCCAAGCCATAAAGGACGGCCTTCAATCGAAAGAAATTGCATCAACTCGCGAGGATGTCGATTCAATTACTCGGGATGATGTATTTGATGCTGTGAAGAACGGATTTGAGATCCATGACATTGGAGGAAGCGTCACCCGGGATGACATTCTCGAAGCAGTCAAAGGTGCTAGTTTCACCCGTGAAGATATACTTGATGCTGTGAAAGACGGACTTCAAACCTTCGATTCGGCTTTGACAAGAGGTGTCACACCTACATGTACTAAAGCTGATGTTTTTGAGGCTGTACGAGTTGGTCTACAATCTCAAAGATTCCCACCAACAGTCACGCGTGAAGATGTATTCGAAGCCGTGTCAGATGGCCTTCAGACATTCAACTCCGCCATCGTTAGCGTTAGAGAGGCAAATGCTAGTAAAGGTGACGTCTTTGACGCTGTCAAGGAAGGTTTCGAAACATTCAACAACGCTCTTACTCTTGATATCCCAGTAGGCGTTAGTCGTGAGGATGTTCTAGATGCAGTGAAGGAGGGCCTACAAACGTTTGACTTAGCACTCACTAAAGAGAACGATGTCAAAGTTAACCGAGAAGATATTCTTGAAGCAGTCAAAGAAGGCCTCGAAAACTTTGATTTCGCTGCTGCTAAGGCGTCCACCGAATTGAGCCGAGAAGTTGTGGAAAATATCACCCGTGACGATGTTATTGCAGCCGTAAAAGCAGGATTAGAAAGCTCACCTCACTCTGTTGACAACTTTACAGCTCAAGCCTCCGAACGCATACGTGAAATCATGGACTCTATACGAACCGAATTCAAGGCAGTTTCGGATGAAGCAAAACAACAAGTCGTTGCAAATGGGCAGGATTCCGAGAAATTGTTAGATGCAACTAAAGATGGATTTGAGAAGCTCCGCTCTGACATCGAAGCTTACGTTGATCGAGCCTCCGATGTCACGGGTAAAGATGAGATTCTGGAAAACATGCGGGATAACTTCGCCACGCTTCGTTCCGAAGTGGAAGAACTCATCTCCAAAAGTTCAACTACTGGCTTTGAAAATGTTAACAGTGAACTTGAGCATCTTCGAGGTTCGATAGCGTCAGCATTGGTTCGATCAGGAGCAAATGATGACAAAGATGAGATTCTTGATGCCTTGAAGGAAGGTTTTGATGGTCTTAAAGCTGGTATGGAAGTTTCCCGACCACGAGATGTTGAAGAAAATACGTCAGCAACCGAAGAAATCATTGACGCTCTGCAAAACGGGTTCTCTGGTCTTAAAGCCGAAGTTGAAAAGGTTGCCAACAAGCCTATCGATATGACTGTTAATCATGAAATTCTCGACACACTCAAGAAAGGTCTAGAGAATGTCAAAGCTGATCTTGAAATTCTCAAAGAGAATCATAAGAATGAGCAAGCGCTAGTGGAAATCTCTGATCGTGCATTGGTTCCAGCTACCGACAGCCTCTCTCATAATGATATTGGGAATCTAGAGATGCTCATTACCCAGCTTGGCATCAAAGTAGCAGCACTCGAGTCGAAGGAACAACCTGCACCACAACTTGCTCCTGGTTCTGTGACCAAAGAAGATTTAGCCAAAGTCGAAGAGCTACTTCGAAATGTTCAAGATAAAGTGGAGGGGGTTGTTACGCGCGAAATTATCCCTGATGAAGCTAGAGTCAAGAAGGAGGACCTTGACGCCATTGAGATTTTGCTTCACAATACAAAAGCTAAACTTGATGAGATCGATCCTGAACAATCCGCTAGGAAGGAGGATATTGAGACTATGGGTGTCTTTGTTCTTGAAACTCGAGACGGTGTGACTGCATTGATTGAACATCTCGAGGAAGTCTCGAAGAAAGATGACATCACCTCCATCGAAACTGTCGTCGGTGAGGTCATGACTGCCCTTGCAGAACTAAAGGAGCAGGTCGGTAACGAATTCAAGAGTCTAGACAAGGTCACAAAGACGGACGTTGAAGCTGTCGAATCCGTATGTCTTGATATCAAATCTGCTATCGAGCAAACCGTCCTTCCAGAATTTGCAGCTTTAGCCACAAAAGATGAAGTCACTACACTGGGTACTTTGGTCAAGGAAACCGCCGTTCGAATTGAATTACATGCAACAACTAATGCCAAAGCTTTCGAGGACCGACAGGCCGAGACTGTTGGTGTTAGTGAACGCGTTACAGAAGTCAAATCTTTCCTCATGGAATTCAGAGATGCAGTTAAAGAGAAGCTTGACGAAGGTACAGCCAATGTCGAGACAGTCCGCACATTCCTTGAAAGTCTTGGAAAAACTATCGACAAAAATGACACTATATCCGAAGATCTACAAGCAATGTTCCATGCTATGACGGAAGAGTTTGAAAAGACCAATGCTGGTATGGTCGGATCTAAGCTCGAGACTGATGAGAAGTTTCAACAAACATGGGATAAACTCGATTCACATTTTGAGGAAAAGTTCACTGAAATCATTACTAAGTATGACGAGCTCCAGAACTTCTTGGAAGAAAGAGCCACAGCTGGTGTAGAAAAAACAACAGAAGTTGAGGCTAATATCCTGAGCACGAAGCAAGTGGCCGAGGATGTCAAGGGTCTACTTGATACATTAATAAGTGCTGTGACAGATTCTTCCGAAAAGATGGAGGAAGCTTCCAAGACAGTTTTCAACCGAGTTGATGAAACATTCATCAGGGTAGAGGAAACTCATGCCGATGCTAAGGCCGAGCACCAGCTCACACGTGAGCAAATCTTGAAGACTTTGGGTGTTGTAGAAGGAGTTCATGGAACTGTGACGGAGTATAATCCCCAAATTCTTGACATGATCAAGGATGTTCTTAGTATGGTTGGTCAGCATTACGAACATTCAAAGAATTCAGTAGAGACAATTCAGGAGAAAATCGCCGAAATTCCTCCTCCACCAGAAATCCCACCTCCTATCGAATACGATGATACACCTGTTCACAAGAAGCTTGATAAGCTTGTGGATCATGTGCAAGAAGCTGGAAAGTCTGTGGCACAATTGGAGATGCTTGACAAAATACATCGACAGATGCTGTCAACTGCTGCAGAAGTTTCTCAGTTCGTCTCCACCCAAACCCAAAAGATTGCAGATGAGCATGAAAGTAAGGAACAAGCTGCCGCAGAAGCTGCCATCGCCCTCGAAAGACGTCTAGTTCAAAAGGAACAGGTTGAGGCATCGATTGCGTCACTCAAAGGGGAAGAGAGAGCTATGAAGGAATATATCACCAAGCTTAAGACTGATAAGGAAGATTTGCTTCATCAAAAGATGAGACTTTCTTCTGATGTTTCTAGCCTGGAGACAGCTTTAAGAATCCGCCGTGAAGAATTACAGGAGATGGAAGAAAGAGCAGAAGGTCTTGAGAGACGCATCCTTGAGGGAGTCATTGACCATTCCCGAGCTCTTTTGTTGGCGAATGGTAATCGAAAGAAAGCACGAGATCCCATGAGTCGTAAACGAAACCCTGCTCAACGTAATTCAACGGCTCATTCTATCGCTTCGAGCGTCGCTTCAAAAACTCCATCGATTACACAAGGTGCTGTTAATATGGCAATGAAGAATCGCTCTCCTACCAAAGGACCTCAAGCCAATCAGGCCCAAAGACGCATTTTATCCCTGAGTCAAATCAACAATAATCTTTCAACTGGTAATTTCAAACGCACTCACAGTGTCAAACAACCCAGTGCTTCCACTCCACGTAAAACCAGCTGGGGCGGAGACTCCAACAAAACAAGCAATTATGGGGAACTGAACAAGGAGAATCTGGCATTGAAAGAATATGAAGATGAAGATGAAGAAAACAAAGAATTAGCCCATCTTTCTGATCACGAGGGCGGAGATCAAAGCGATTCAAACACGATGAGGAGAAGCAGTCATGGTACTACTTTTATCACGGGAAATGAAGGAACAGAGTATTCGGAGAGTGTTGATGGTGGTGGAAGAGATCGAGATGAGGATCGAGATAGGGACGAGGGATCAGAATCGGATTATGAAACAGAAACAGACTTGGGAACTAATAGTCATTTGGGTACCGAAAGTGAATTGTCGAGTAGTAGTTTGGGAAAGGGAAAGGACTATAATGCGGTGGTTTTGTATGAAGAGGAAGTTGTTTAGTTCACTGGTGGTTGTAGATGGAGATGAGGGGATCGATATGAAGAGTGTTGGATTCTGAGGATGAGCTTTACGTAAGCTACAAATTCATGCGGTAATGGTCTAATTCTTGTATCTTTCTTGACCCGCTTACTCGCTTTGGGAAACGGAGGAAGGGGTGGCTTTTTTTTTGTGCTCTGAAGCAGGGGATTACGACAGAACCTACAATATACCCTAGTATGTCGGTTTCTTGATGAAGTCCGGATTGAAGTTTTTGATTTTACATTTTTTCTTTTCGATGAACAGCGTTTTAGCGATTAGTATATTTTATATCCTTTTTGGTTGTGGTATTTTCAATTTCAAAGATTCCCTAGCGAAGGGGGTATACTAGGTAGTTAGTAGTAGTAGTAGTAGTAGTAGTATTACAAGTACAATTTTTCTCTTCTCATAACTTCTTTCTTAGTATCACTCATTGCATGCATTGTGATTAGAGATGTGAATCTGTTCCCATCAGTATCTTAATACTAAACGAGTTACTCGCATCGACATAAAACCACCCATATTACCATTCTGAGACTACTCCCTCTTCAAAACTTTCCTCCCCGCCATCCACGGCCACAAAACTTTGGGCACTCTAACCTCTCTCCTCTCCTCATCCCATCCATTCTCTAAGATAGCAGCCACAATTCTCGGCACCGCAAGCGCCGTCCCATTAACCGTCCACGGAAATGCGATTTTTCCTCCATTCTTATCAATATCAACTCTCGTCGCCAATCTCCGACTTTGATAATCTCCACAGATACTTAATGATGTCACTTCGCCCCATCCATTATCTCTTTCTCTGCGCGAGGGGAAAAAGGCTTCGATATCTATTTTGCGCATAGCTGAGGCGCCGAGATCAGTGGAGGGCATTTCGAGAATCCGACAGTGAAGATCGAGGGAAGTGAGGATGGTGGTTTGGAGGGAGAGCATTTCGTTGAATACTTCTGTGGCTTCTGGGAGGGAAGGAGAGGTCCAGGCGAACATTTCGACTTTGGTGAATTCGTGAACCCGATAGAGACCTTTAGTGTCGATACCACGGGCGCCAGCTTCGGCGCGATAGCAGCGGGATGTGGCGATTGTTTTTAAGGGGAGGAGAGATTCGTGGATAGTTGTGTTGGCTTTCATTCCTGCGAGAGGAATTTCGGCGGTTCCGGCGAGGGAATATGTTGGTTTCGCGCTTTCAGCATCGGAAGGGGATTGGGCGATGGAGTAGATTTGTTGTTCGTCTGATTGATCGCGGGGTTGGAAACCGCATGCTGATGCGATGTGGGAATAGATCATCGAGGGAGGAGAGACGATGGACCAGCCCTTTGATAGAGCGAGAGAGAGGGAATATTGGATGAGGGCTTGTTCGAGGAGTGCGGCGCCATTAAGTAGATAATACCATCCCCAACCGGAAGTATGAGCTGCAGAGGAAAAATCAAGGAGATTTAATTCGCTACCTATATGGACGTGAGACCGCCATACTCGATCTGAGGAGGTGGCGTTGGGTTCGGGATGTTCGTTGATGGTTCCTATTACTTTTGGTTCTGAGCCGCGAGGAGTGGAATCGGATGTAAGATTTGGAATTGCGGATGCGAGAGTATTGATTTCTGTCATGAGCATCGATTCTGAAGATTCTATTTCGGAGATTTTATCCTTCAAGCTTCTAGCTTCTCCGATAATCTCCTCTTTAGAAAGAGCGCGTAACTTTTGAATTTCTTCTGAGCCGTCATCTCGTATTGATTTTGGATTTGCAAGTTGGAGTTTTAATTTATTATTTCTTTCTCGTAATGCTCTTCCATCGCGTTGATGTTCGTGCCATTGTTCGAATAAACTTATAATTTTAGCTGGGTATGTTGATTGTAGTTTGTAATTCCTTTCTAGACAACTCTTTTCATATAATTCGGGATTGTTTCGTATGTGTTTTATATCGATGGATTGTTTGGGTGCTATGGAGGGTTTAGGTATTTCGGAACGTAAACGTGGAGAGATATGGTATGGACGACGAGGAGATGGTCGTAAAAGGGATTGAAATTGACATCGTAAACACGTAAAACGATTTATCGTTGACATTTTGGATATTGAGGGGGAAAGGATAGTGGGATGATATTATTTTTTGGAAGCCCAGAGCTAGCTGTTGAAACTAAGAATATGAGTTGAGCTTATTATTGGGTGAATCTAAAATGCGGGGTTCGATCGGTCAAATCGGTCAAACGATTTTCCGACCCCTTCGCCAAAAAATTTGCGAGCAACACCAAGAAAACCATCCAGATGAGACTCCGGATTGAAAAAAGAATATCAAAACAACAAAATGTGCAAAAGAATATGTCGAAGTTGGATTCAAACCAACGAAACTCAGGGTTACTCCCTACGTAGGGCTCGAACCTACAGCCTCAAGATTAGTCATCAAGATATGAATATCAGATAGAAGTCTTGCGCGCTACCATTGCGCCAGCAGGGAAATCACACGATTTCTGTGTAAATTGTTGAAAGAACCGATTCAATTTGAGTTTATATCCCACAATACAACGATTCGCTTATCAAAAGCCAACTCTCTCATGCCCATCATTAAATGTCAGTGGTAAAACTTGCTTTAAATTATAATCTTTCAATAATCTCACTCGAGAATACAAGTCTAAACGACCATTACATCTTCAAGTTACAGTCGTATATCGTCAGATCTCATGTGAGTCCATCGCTAGAGCATTATTCAACTTTTAATTTTGAGTCGAGACATCAACAAATAACATAACGCCTACTAAGTGAGTATACTCGATTTTATTATTCCGACGATAGCTTCATTCTCTAACTGGGTACTTACAAAATAAATTACAGAGAAAAGGCCCATATAGTCGAGAATATCATATACACTCAGAATAAAATATGATATAATTATCTGAATGAACCTTCGAATATTATTTCAAAACTAATTAGCTTTCTACTATTGCTTTTCTATTCATATCAAAATACCGAAATAAATTTCACACCTAGATTAAAATATCATATTATTTAGATCATACTTCTTGAATCTCTTTCGGCTATGTCTTTATACTCAAGGCGGAGGAAAGCGACGCTCGAACTGACTATGCTTTCGATCAAGCTCACTCTGATCTATGCTGAAGCTCCACCTACATCGGGAGGTCTTATACCAAGTCAATTACGTTTGAGTCTCAAGCCTCAAACCTCAAGCATCGTTTTCGTTTTCATGCTTTGCGTTTATGAATCCTGAGCTCGATGGACTTCAAGCTGGAGTCGTATGTCAGGAAAAGAAAACTTTTGTGGCCAATTAGATTCTTTCCATAATCTGTACACGTACACAAGTGAGTGCGTGGATTGACGGGACACTTCCCAACTTTCGATATTCTTAGTCAATTCATTCTTCAATTATTTGATATCAGAATCCACATTCTGATTGTTCCATCTCTAATCAATAATTGTAACAATTCCTGGAACGAATGATTCGATATGTCAAGAGATATTTGCAAGTACATTTTTAGTGTCCCATCAATCCGTACACCTACTGGTGGTATATAGAATATTTCAATCATTGCTCACCAAGTATCACATCAAGAATAAGTCAAGTAACATGAAATTAAAGGCTTCACATGAGTTGACTATGAAACTGCAAGACAGAAGCTTGTTGAACCATTATTTCGCATGCTTCTTTGCTCTTATAATAGCTATTCGACGGAGTTTCATTACTGTGTGGTTGCGTTTAAGATAAAAATAAAGTAAATGTAAATGAAGGATATATTCGCTCCTCAAAGGCTATGACGATATGAAGAAATGGTCAGGGGGCAGATGTGGGAATTGAGGAGATGTCGAGGGGAAGTGTGAGAATAGAGATCAATGTGATGGGAAGCACGAGAGAAGAGGATAGACGATCCCAGGAAAGGTCAGGAGGGCCATAAGGGAAGTTCTCAAGGAGAAAAGGACGGGTCGAGACGCTCTGTGGGTTTCCTTCTCTGTAAATTTGCTATGCCTCTGTCAAGCGCCAGACTCCCAATTTTGCAACATTGAAATGACCTTTGAATTACATTTAAGTTCCACGAGCTTATTGTTATACAATCTCGATGTTCCTTTGATTTCTCTCTCTCTCTTGCATTCATCGATTCCAATCTTCACAAGAAACTTTTGTCATTTACCTCTGCATTTGTCTGAGTACGGCAAACCGAGGAGAGAATTGGTAAAGTGTTAACAGTAAGATTTGTAATACATTCAAATTATGATTTGCTATCTTTTGAAAATGCATGTTCTACTTCATGACTGTTTGAAGTCATGCTTTGGATGAAGTGAAGTTGAAGTCGAGCTGAGACCAAATAGTAGTGTGAATTCCGACACGCTTCACTTTTAACCTTCAACTTCACCATCACATCATAAAAATTTTACAACCTCTGAGTTCTCACATAAGGGACAGGGATTTCTTCATCAACATCACGAACACAATAAAAAGAAGCAGAAGTAGAAGCATTTACCGACGACCACCACATACCGAGGACCAGCAAATACCGAGTAACTTCATTGAACGGTGAAAGCCACAGACTCAGTAATCCCTCTCTAATTTACAACGAAGAGCCTTCCGTACATTGCGTAACCAGATTCTCTCTCAACCAAGGAATCTTTTGATATACTACTCGAAGTGTATTTTGAAGTTTACCAAGCTACCTGTCCGAACTATGGATCTATCAAAAGTACCAAAGACCAAGCCCATCTCGGCGAAGAAAGCTGCTCGGTATAAGAAGATATTTGATGATCCCCGAATAATGAAGGAAATCTTTAAGCAATCCGAGGCATCCAGTCGTTGGGCTGAAGAGCTCATGATGAATGAGCGAGCATCTCAATGTACCAAGCCAGGTGGAAATATTGACGGGGAAGAGGACCATGATGTTGAAGAAGAAGAAGAAGAAGAAGAAGAAGAAGAAGAAGAAGAAGAAGAAGAAGAAGAAGAAGAAGAAGAAGAAGAAGAAGAAGAAGAAGAAGAAGAAGAAGAAGAAGAAGAAGAAGAAGAAGAGGAATTGGTGGCTTCGAAGTATTTCAACAAGGAAGTTGTCGTGAATACCAAGGATCAAGAGAAGAAGATAGAGGAATTTGGGGTTGGAGACGATATTTCAAATTCGCTTGTGTTGAGAAAGCAAGAAGAGGGTTTGGTACTCCCGACCAAGGATGTCACAACCAAGACCATTCCGACCACCGAGTCCGGAACCAGCGATGTGGCAGCATGATTAAGAAACCGAGGGGTACCAAGAGTAGAAAGGGAGCAATTACCGAGCATTCACGAGCTGTCAAAGTTATCATTCATGGATCAAGGCATCAACAATGTAGTTTAATCAATAATAAGCAAGAATTAAACTATTCAACTATGGAAATAAAAAGTTAACAATGCGTTTTTATTGCCTAGTACTTAATTAGATCGAAAAATAAACTATTATTTTCTGTTATGTTATTACATTGAGGAATAAATAATGAAATGATTGATATTAATTAGTATTCTATAGAAGTTCATATAGATTGTAATTTGATTTTTAGTTTTATATTATTTTTGATTGAAGAGATTTTTTATATATTTTAAAAACTAAAAGTTTAACTAATTTATTAAAAAACTTATTGGAAAAACTGATTAAAACTTTATTGGAAAAACTTATTTGAAAAACTTATTTTACATATATATATTTATATTTTAGATATAAATCTTTCATTTGAATATATATAATATTATATTCATGTATTTTATCATAAATAGTTACTCCTTATCATATAAATGAATTTACAATCTTGTTTATTCTATATGTAACTCTAGTCGCCTACATGTTTCGTTCCCTCTGTAAACAAACTGAGAACCGAAATTACACGATATCGATAGTAAAAAGAATCCTCCCACTAAGATTTTCAAAGACTGCTTTCATAGATCATTGAAGCTTCTATGAACAGCTTCATTTCTCAGCAACTGATTTACGTTTTGACATTTGGGCGGTTAAATATTTATAAAAGCAAAAAGGAGCTGTGCCGCATAATATATTAATCCGTTTCACCCCAACCAGCCGTGAATGAATCTAACTGTTGGCATGCCGAAAATGGAAAACCTACCGTGGACTGGTATTTACCAACTAATCATACAAAGTGTCGGTGATATCAACCGTTTGTTGTTGGTGCTTCATCATAAGATTACAGACCATAGCTCTGGCAGTCCCTAAAAGACGTAGCAAGTTGATCGTACGTATTACTTTCCGACTCAAATTTGTAACAAAGTATATAAGATCTTACAAGACCTAACGGTATGGATGAACCATTTGTGACACAGCTACCCAGAGTGGCTGGTGCCATATTGTCTATACTTATTACTACATTTGCAATAAAACTATATCGAGTGCGGAGTTTCATACGAGGACTCCAAAAACAAGGTCTTGTACGTTCTCAAAACCCATTTGGTGGTCAACGATCAATCATCCCCTCATTAAAACATCAACTAACCAATCTTGAAGCCTATGCCACCCCATCATTGGTTGCTCGGACACATACCTCTCAGCGCAAGTATCATTAGTAGTCTCCCTCCATATGCCCATGGCGTCTATGTTGGAGACCAAATTCGCCAGAGATATCCTCATCTCGACAGCGCCTTCTATCTCGATAATTGGCCGCTCGCCGCCCCAATTCTCGTTGTGCTCAAGCCGGATATGATGTACCAACTGACCCAAGCAAATCAAATCCCAAAAGACAAAGGCATTCGTGCATTCCTGAAGCCCTTGACTGGCGAATTTGATCTGGTTACCTTAGAAGGAGATTCTTGGAAATAATGGAGAGCTATATTCAATCCTGGATTTAGTGCTGGTCATGTGTCAAGTCTGGTTCCAGGAATGATTGAAGAGATCAAGATATTCAAAGATCTGCTAAAGAAACATGCAGAAAGTGGTAAAATGATGTTTCTCGAGGATGCCAGTTTGAACCTTACAATCGATGTTATTGGTAGAGTTGCAATGTGAGTGAAGCCTTTTTTTTCTGGCAGAGCTATCCTATATCGCCGACTAGCATACCTGATGTATGCTCTTAATCCCTGGAAGCGGTATAATGTCCAAACGGATTCATAATTCTAGACTTATTGAATGTCTTAATTGAATTCAGAAATCGAAAGCTTCTGGTTGTCGGAATACAATCCAGACTACCAAGACTACCATTTTCCGATCATTGACTGATGCAAATAATCTTTACCAGGGACCACAGATTCTGCAGCCAAACTAGCTACAACGAAATGACAGCAGCATTGCGAAGGCAACTGTTATGGTGCACGACAGGTATGAATATCAACCTTGGAATACATCAATATCCTTCGCCCTTTTGTGCACGCATACAACAGCTACCAAATGAACCGCTATTTATCCCGAGAACTCGACAAACGCTATCGAAGCATTAAAGACAGTGAGATACAGAAAAAAGACAAATCGATTGTGGATCTAGCATTTAAAGGGGATCTCGCGGAAAATCCTTCAGCAGCAGGCATCGATAAGAGTTTCCAAAATTTTGCCATGGCACAAATAAAATTATTCATCTTCGCTGGCCACGACACTGCTTCTGCTGGTGCGATCTTTACCTAGCATCTCCTATCCCAACATCCAAATGTACTGGAAAAGGTTCGGGTTGAGCACACCGAGGTACTAGGGGCCAACATTGCGGATGCTGAGTCTGTAATTGCTTCAAAGCCTCAACTATTGAACCAGCTTACTTATACCATTGCGGTCATCAAAAAGATTCTCCGCATCTACCCCACTGTCGCCGCGCTTCGCGATGGACAATCTTATTTTTCTTTGATAGGAGACAATGGTCTTCGTTTCCCCACCGAGCGAACAATAGTCTGGGGCGATCATTATGCCACACATCATAATCCTGCCCATTGGCCGCGAGCTGAAGAGTTTCTTCCAGAACGATGGATCGTAACCGAAGGCCACGAGCTCTATCCACCCAAAAATGGATGGCGACCTTTTGAACGCGGTCCTCGCAATTGTATTGGTCAGGAAGTAGCCATGACAGAAATAAAACTCATGCTTGCATTGACGATTCGAGATTTTGATTTCAAGGATGCTTACGAGGAGTATGATGTTATGAAGGGTCACCCAAAGGGTTTAACTGTAAATGGTCAAAGAGCATACATGATGCTTCGGGGAGGCGGCCATCCGGCAGATCATTATCCATGCAAGGTATCTTTCGCAAAGCAAAGATAATACGGCTGGAGGGAATAAATTGCATTATCGTGAATGGGAAGAACCGCTCGGTGTATCTTGCGATTTGAAAATTCTGTAATATTTATATAGAACGAGGTTATGTCCCTCTCAATTTATGGGTATCTATATGAAGACAAAGTCAAGATTGAAAAGTAGAAACTCATAATCCCAAACTTTGGGTGACATCCAATTTAATGAAAGGTGATTGAGTGGTCAGGCTAAACCCAACGTGCTATGTGCTATGGTATCATGTCCTGCTTCGATTCGCCAACTTCTTGTCTCCCATCTCCTCTATCTCTTTCTTCTTATGGTAATGCGGTGCAAGCTCATACAACCAATTTGCTTTGATGGGAATGCAACTGCGCATGTACTCCTTTGTAGTTTGTACAAGCTCATGATAAACAACCAACTTGATAGGAGGATCATTTGCCATCAATACTGACGAAGGATGTATGTACACTGTAGTATTTCTCTTGACTGTCCGATAACTGTCTCCGTCTCGTTGTAATCGTGCTGCATTAGCGAAAAATCCGGCCGTAATCGCTTTCTGAATAGGCTCCAGATTTGACGCTCCGCAACTAGCAATTGTAACTTCCACGCGTTCACAAAGCTTTGCAAGTTGATCTCGAACGTCCCTAGCTCGAGTGAGGGAACGTTGCTGAAGAAAGTTCTCTTTTGCCCAGATAGTGCTGAAGTCATTATCTACCCATTGATTCCAAATGTTCAAATAGGTGAGGTGGTCCCCTCCTTCTTTGATCGTGAAACGCGCTCTAGCACTATCTGCGTGCACTCTCTGTTCTCCTTTAGGACGGAAAAATAGTGCCGAACTTTCACCTAACATTGCCATGATGCTCAATACTTCGTCAGAGCATGCCAGTTGGTCTGAAGCAATGATAGACTTCGCAACTTGAGGATCTGTCGGGAACTCGGCCATTTGTCTTCCGATTTTGGTTAGTTCTCCACGGTTGTTCAATGCAGACAACGCGTACAATTGGTTGAGGGCACCAATTAGAGTTTCTGTTGGTGGAGGGTCCATAAAATCAAAGGTCAAGAGATCGTTAATTCCAAGTGACTTGAGCAGTAGAACTGTACCATTCAGGTTTGTTCGCTGAATTTCGGGAGTAGTACTTTCTTCCATTTCATTCATAAACGCCCATTTTGTGTACAAACGAAAGCACTTTCCAGGCCCTACACGACCAGCACGGCCACTTCTTTGATTCGCAGACGCTCGTGAACATGCTACTGTAACCAACTTCGACATTCCAGTCGCTGGGTTATAGATATTCTCCTTTACAAATCCTGGATCGATGACGTATACAATACCGTCAATGGTCAAACTCGTCTCTGCAATATTGGTTGCCAACACAACTTTTCGTGCTCCTTTAGGAGTTGGTTCGAAAATCTTCGTTTGTAGATCGGTTGGAAGATTTGCGTAAATAGGACAAATAACAAGCTCGGGCACTCTCGAACCCAATTTCTTTGAGATATCACTTATTCGTTCTTCCGCTGCCTCAATCTCATCTTGACCTGTTAGGAATATCAGCACATCACCACTTGGCTGAGAGGTATGTATCTGAAAAAGTGTAGTAATGGCAGCAGCAAGATAATTTGCCTCTGGCTGTGGGGTATTATAAATTTCGACTGGGTAACTACGCCCTTTAACATTGAAGATAGGAGCGCCATCGAAGAAGTCTGAGAAAGCCTGTGCATTAATTGTCGCTGAAGCAATCAGCAGTTTGATCGTTGGCCTTTCTTTGGCAAGATCCTTGAGCAATGCTAAAAGTATGTCGGTGTGAACAGTCCGTTCGTGAGCTTCATCAATCATAATCACCTGATACTCGTCTAGAGAAGGTGTAATCATGACCTCTTTCAAAAGATGACCATCCGTCATATACTTGATGAGAGTTTTATCACTTGTACAATCTTCAAAACGGATAGCGTAACCAACTTCATTTCCGATCTTGCATCCCATTTCTTCTGACACACGTTGAGCGACGGACATGGCAGCCACCCTTCTAGGTTGGGTTACTCCAATTTTCATACCATCTTTAGTATACCCTGCTTCGTGGAGATACTGTGGTAACTGTGTAGTTTTACCGGATCCTGTCTCACCAACAAGGATAATAGTTTGGAACTGATCAAGAGCAGCCAAAAATTCGTCCTTATAAGCATAGATTGGAAGATTTTTCCTCGTCTCCTCAATTGTCTTCGCTTTCTGCTCAGCAGCCTTCAATTGTTCACCTAGAAATCTTGCTTCTTTATCCATGCCTTGTCCCGGTAATTTCGAATCCATGATCCACTTAATCCCTTGCTCCTCGTCCAAGATATAATCATATTCGCCTTGGTCGACTCGTTCGGTGCTTTGGATCTGGTTTCTGGCGAGTTTTTCTTGTTGCCTATCCCATTCTTCGTGTTCGGAAACAAATTTCTCCTGGCCATATTCATCTCTTTCGACGTAGCGTTTGTATAGCGCATCTTGTTTCTTCTTCTGATCGAGCTTCCCTTTTTCTGTAATATAGTCGTCGGGCATAGAATAGCCGTCTCGGTGATCATCAATTCTTAATCTTTCGTCGGCAAGTCGAAGAAGCTCTCTGTTCTTGGCAAATTCTGCTTTCTCCTTCTTTGATAAATTGGAATATGGATCATTCAGCTCCCTCGTTTCATCCTCGACTTGTCTCCTCAGCAAAGCAAGGCGCTCCGCTTCACGCTTCTTCAAATATTCTTGCCTCGACCTTTCCCTCAGATCTGGCATTGCAGCACGTCTTGCAGCAGCATCATCGGCCAATGCTCTTCTCTGTGCCATGATAGGATCGGATCTATCCTCGAGTATTGTCTTCGATTTGTCGGAATTCTTCGACAAGAGTCTCTGCGCGAAAGCATCTCTCTCTGCTTGATCTCTCCTTCGTTCTTTTTCTGAATCCGAGATATCCTCGTCTGAATGTACTGTTTTGACCCGTTTTGAGGCAGGCTCCTGAAATTCCGGTTCGTCCTCCGAGATATATTCTTCGTCGCCCCATCGTTCCTCGTAATCATCATTCGCCTTATTTCGGATAGTTTTGGAGCGCTGTTCCGTATCTCTACGTGGGGACCTCTCTCGACGAGGTGACTTTTCTCGGTGTCTGTCGCGCCGCGAGGAGCTTTCACGATGTGACTTTTTCTCCTTCCTCTTTGCTACCACTTTTACTGGACCTATTTCCTCTTCCTCCATAGGAAGAAGCGCGTATTTTTTAGAAGCCATGCTATTTCAATGTATTGGAGATCTCTTAATAAGCAGAAGCGGTTTGAGTTAAGTGAGACGGACGAATTTCATGTAATTTCGTCGATGATTGAATTACATTATAAAAGTCGCAGCCTCGCGACATGCACGATGTGGATTGCTTGAAGCTCAAATAAGTGGACCACAAAACAGCCGATAATTACCCGATCGTTCAATACGGCATTTTTGAACCTCACTTCAATGCTCGAATTTGATGCCATGTGACGGAATGGGATGAACGACAATTGGAAATAAAACAAGTGAAGCGGAAAAGAAGGAAAAAAACTAGGCAAAATGAATCGCACTTCGATGAGTCTCTTGAGGAGTTCAAAATACCTGACAAGGAACGGCGCATCCACATCGCAACGACGATTTGCATCCTCAGAAACCCCTTCACCTACTGTAAGCCGTTTGATTATTCTCAGTAGATGCATTATTTTAGTTCACGTATCTTCGAAGATTTAATTCTACACCATAGCTAATACCTGCCAAGCGCACTTTTTACAAAACTTTCACTCGCCCTATCGCAAAAACTCTTTTGATGGCAACTTTCATATATCAATTGACCTATTGGGGCTGGGTAAAATTGGAGAAGGATGAATTGAAAGCAGGCAAACGTAGGGAAATAAAGGAACTGGAGGAGGAACTGGAGAAAATCAGTGGAGGCGCTATCAAGGGCGAAGATGTGAAAGTCAAAGGTATCTAAGGAGACCTATGCGCGGGGATCAAGCACATAAGCACATGGTCACTTGAAGAACTATGCAGGGTGAAAATGAGGATTGAGAACTCTTGCGGGCAAACAAAGTCGCTCTCATGATCTAGTGATGGTGGCTACTAGTCTCAAAAATTCTGTCGCAGTCGCTGTACCGCGACGACTTACAGATGAGATATCGTTTGCGCCATACCCACCAGGTTCATGCTCGATTTTGCGCAAATCGAAATCGGAACATAAATAAACATTTTGTTTGTGCGGGGCCCTCCTGGAAACTGGTTGACTATCATTGCGAAGACATGAACTCAAAACTAATAATACTACAAAACCACCAAATGATGATAATCACCGACGTGCCTACTTGCCCACATTGCACTTGGATGATTTGCCAAGGACATGTTGCGCTTCGTACCATGATGTTGAATTTTCATCGAAGTCGATCAAAAATTCCTGAACAATGCCTTGAAATTCACCAGATGTTTCATGTGATGATTTTTCCATCACTTCCCTACTATTATAATCTACACCTCCTACAGAAAAGTTTAACAAAAAAATTGTATCGAGTGTAGCAAACACACTTTCTCTTCTCTGTAATGAAATTTCCACTTACTTTGTCTAACCCCAATGGCTCAGGACTGCCTCCTCTTTTTAAGTAATTGTATTGAATCAATGATGTGGTGTGAAGGAGTGGGCATTGGTAATGAGTAAGGAAATGGAGTAGGGAAGGAAAGCAATCGAGTTACGTCTCACGAGTTATTTAAATCACATTGATGACAGCACGTGGTCACCGCATCTTGCCCGAATAATCTTTTTTTTGTCTATAGAATTGTTAGCAGAAACTCAGAACGGGGTCTTGCCAAGAGAGCCAGAGAAGAGAGAGTGTGTTTGCTTGTTTTGATGCGGGTCAGGGCTTGTGCGGTTATTTGTTTGAGAGATTGAGTACGGTAGTGAATCAATGGTGAATTGGTGGATGGATGAGAAGTGTGTGGTTGGGAGGCGAAGAATTCTTGGCCGGGGGCGGTGAAGTCGGGGTGATGTAATTTGTATGATTTACGAATGAGCGGCGGACAGGAACGTTGGCTCATTAGAGTACGGGGTGATGATCCTGCGAATGGTCAACAACTGTTATTTATATGGCGTTCATGACATCCCGAGCATCGTATGAAGCCGATTAACTTATATCAAAGATAGTATTGCACACCTAGTAGTACATCCATCGATATTTATATGTACAAAATACCACATAGCTATACCATCGGAAAGCTGTGTAGAAGCAAGAGTAGGATATGACGTAGCGAATAGTAAATTGTGAAGAATCTATTGGAAATAGTTTTGAACAATCGTATTACACATTTCCACATCTGGTATCTATCTAGCCTTCTATCACTTCGGCATATGTGGAATATCACTATGTAAACTAAATTCCGCTTATTTCTATATAAACCTTGACCGTGTTCGATTTAAGCACCCTTCCATTTTCCGAATCGAGCCCAATCTCTGTACAAAGTTCCCCAAACTGCTCTAGCACTGGCATCCAGCCCATCAACCACAGCCTTGCGACCTTCCATATCTGTACATCCAAATATTGCATACAGCCCAGGTGTCATAACAGCTCTAACCTCTGACTTCATGGTCATTTCGAGATTGAATTTTATGTATGTCTGAAGTATGATGTGCATGTGTTGACCAGCAATCTTTTTGGCTTTGGCGACAGCAGATGTGAGGTTATTCACGGATGAATGAGAAATGGAGTTAGGTGTAGGGTCGCAAATCAGGGTGAGAAGACGGGTAAAAGATTCAGCTGCTATTGGAGAGAGAGTATTAGAGGAAGATGAAGTGATGCCTGGTTGAAAATGTGGGAGCCAGAGAGGTGGGGTAAAGGCCTGAAGAAGCCTCTTAGAGGTGTGCGAATGGGCTGTAAAGAGGCAGCGGAGAAGAGGTTGTAGAACTTGGATGACAGAGTGCAGATGGCCCTCGAGACGGAAGCGGTGGTTGGTAAGAACAACCTTCATTAATGTACACAGACGAATGAAGATATTGCTTGCTTGTGAAGGAGGAAGAGAAGGCCCTTTGCTAGAGCATATTATCGCAACTGTCGCAAGAGTGCGATCAATAGACCATTGGGAGAGAGCACGACGCTGCAGATTTGTTAGCTACATTTCTGGAAGGTTGCAGAATTAAGACTCTTACTTTTGTCTTCAACATCATCTCCATAATCTCCCCTAGCAAAGCAAATACTCGATATGAATTAGTCTTGATAATCTGCGTGCAAAACAGATCGTATGCTAGACAGAGATCCATTGATCCTTGAGATTTCTTTGCATCAGCAGGCTCGTGTCCGATATCTATGAAGTGTCAGCTATAATTGGCAGGAGATCAAAGCACATTAGACATACTATCGCAGGCGCCAATAACATATTTAACGGCTACCAACTTATCCAGTTGAGTCAGACCAATCTTTTCTTTGCCAATTAAACGTTGAATCAGCTGTAATTTTTCTGCGTTGTCCATTCCTGAGGTAAATGTCTCCATCTTTTTCTTCATGCCAGCTCTACCGGCAGATGTGTTGATAAAAGCCTCTAAAGAGCTGTCGAGAATTCCATCTTCGTTACTCGACGCATGAGTAGCAAAGAATTCCGGCAATAGTTGTCGTACATCAACCACTTCTGGCCTCCCCTCATTTAACTTGGCAATATATACTTGACCTTCTGTTGCGAGAGGTTCAATCTCAGACGATTCCACGCCCAGAGATTCCAGAGCCTGAACAATAACAACAACTGACAATGAACCATCCTTATGGTTCCCAACCTCATCTATCTTAGGTTTCTTTTTCAGTCGCCTTTGCAGTTGGACGAGCAGAAACTTTTTGAAGGATGTGCAATGGTTAGTCAAATCTTGGTTGTTGACAATAGCTAGATCATTAAGCTGCTTCGATTTAGTTATAAGAACAGCAAGTAATGAATGCGATATGGAGATGAAGGGCAGAGTCTTCTCGCCCTTGGTCTTCTTCTCGTCGCTAGTAAATTTTGAGAGTTTATCTTGAAAATGACTTATGGCGTCTAATGTATAATTGCGATTTTGAGACTGATCTAGATTGCTAGTCACATGTCTAATAAAGATCAGTAAACAAATAGCCGGAATAATATCAGTATGAACGGTACGTACGACAAAGTCAACTTGACAAGCTCTCTAAGTGTAATAAGAGTTTCTAATCGCTTAGGCATCTCCTCGAACCCAACTTTCTTAATCAATTTCTCAATCTCTTCGAAATCCTTGTATTTCATGCCCTAGTATTGAATTAGCAACGTCTAAAATTCTGCAGATTCTACCAACTTTATATAATGTAGGGCGATGCATGATCTTCAATTTCAATGCTAGCACAGCGGGATAACACTCAGGGGACTGTGCCAAGACATCTGTTGACCAGCTCTGCATAATCCGTTCCCTGTACTTTTTGCTGATCACTTCCAATGGAAGTTGTGTTAGAGATTCAACGACAGCATAATTACATGTAAGAGTAGCAACGAGAGGATTTTCTTCTTGCGTTTGACAGCTCAGTAGGACATCGATAAATCGACTTATGATGCTAGAATGGTTGAGTACACAATCTTGACGCAAAACTCCAAACCATAAGGCAGCGAATGCTTCATGATTCCATACATCCTCAGTTATAGCGGTCTTAGCCAAAGAAGCTATCCAGAGGATATTTCTCAACAGTAACTCGAATGCATTGTTTTGTAACTTAACGCCAAGTTCCAGAACACGTGGATATTCTTGGAAGAGGCAATTGTAAAATGACCATGCAGTCCATTGGGCGCCTCGTGATAACGTGTTGAGGTGAATAGGCCACTTTTCAGTATATGCCACTTTTTGATCAATCAAAGCACCAATGGAAGGACCTAGTTGTTCAAGACAACGCAAGACCACTGGTGATGAAAGACTTTCCAATTTCGTTCCAATTTCGGCCGCATTCCACGCTGAGCATGCACATCGAAAGATTTCCAAATTATCCAATCCTTTCTGACCGGCTGTATGGGCGGACAATATGGTAAAGGGGCTCGCTTGCTGCTCCCACAGCTCAGCAATTTCTTCCAAGTGAAGAGGTTGCATCCAATGGAAGGATCGAGTCAAAACTCTCCAAGCTCGCCAGCTATATCTGTCATTCAATTTGCCAATATCCCCGTTATCAAAGATGACATGGTAGAGACGTGTTCCGATGATATCTACAACATCTTCTCTAGAAATTGAACTTGCAATAGCTTCAACAATGGTAACGACAGCGTTAGGTTGGCTTATAATCTCAGTGGCTAGCCAGTCAACTAAATGTACTATTTGTTGAACAGTTAAGGAATTTTCCAAAAGCTTAGAAAGCTCGGTCTGTAGGGCTTCATCCTCCCAAGCACAAAAGGCATCCGCCGGGAACATTGCATCTTCCTTTCGCATCTGCTCAAACTTAACAAGCTGAGAGTACCAATGGCGCACGAATCCTGATAGATCACGAGCTTTGGCAAATTCATCCATCAAAGGAACGACAATCTCGGATACAATATGTCGAGAATGTTCGAGCCAGGTAGACTCGAAGTAGACGTTAGTAACCCGCTCCAATACATCGTTCAATAAATTCTTGTCGCTATCGGCAATGAGGAAGACATTGGCATCGAGTTTCATCACGGTTTCCAGAAGGTCCCAATCCGTGCTTCCCTCAGGTACAACATACTCCGCCGTTAAACTCTTCAGTTCTGGGAGGCCAAGATCCACTTCGTGTTGAATGGAGCGCTGAAGTATTTCGCGGATGGCAGAATTATGCGCTGCTGTTTTAGTTGGGGGCATGGCAGCTTTTAAGGTTGTGAATACGGTCTGAAGCCAGGCACTATCTGATGGTCGTCTTCGGCGGTCTCCATTAGACTGCAAAGACCGGATCGCAATGTCAAAAAGGATAGGAGCATTTGCGACATCTTGCAGAACTAGAACTCTCGTCAAACTCTGTAACAATGTAGAATCTTGCTTTTCCCCGGCGCTCGCTTTTGAAGGAATTATGATATTTCGAGCAATCAATTTCTCCAAAATTTCCTTCCAATCCTGTGTGGATGAATCTACCTTCATCATTTTTAACAATGCTAGTAAAGGTTCTGAGCAATGAAGAGAAAATTGCATGAGGTCTTCAGTTCCTACCACGCGGTAGTCCCAGATGTCGATAAAGGGGGACATCAATTGGGACGATGTAACCAGACCAGCATTTTGACTTAAAACCATCTGGCAAAGAGACATCCAAGAACCTAGAACCATGGCGGACGCTTCAGGCGTGGTTCGCACGACCGCTCGCATATACTCCGTGGTAAAAGCTGGACTTCTACCATTCCCTGCTATTCTTTGGGAGGAAGAGACTTTGGTGGATCGAACGATACTATTGATAGCAGTGTGAATCGCCATAACCAAAGCTCGAAGGCCCTTGGCCGGACCATGATACGTATGGGTGACTAGTTCCCCGGTCCGTTTGCGCTTCTTCGAAATAATTGATGTTTCCCCTGACTCCGACCCTGACGTTAAATCATTGTGTGCCTCTATGCTAGAATCTTCAATGTCGCCGATCTCTTGTGCTTCTTGTAATGTCTGTTGTAGCGTGACGATAAACTTCTTTTCGGTGAGCATGCGTGCAGTGTTCGCTAGCGGGATCGCATTCAACAATAAACGAAACAAGTGCCATGATGACGGTGTGATCCTAGGGGAGCATTGTTAGCTTATGATCTCCAATCCAGAATGTAATAAACAATATACCTGGCAGTTTTATCCTTGGGAGACTGCAATTTCTTCAAAAGCCATCGTAGAAGCCATTCCTCTCTACCATGAAACGAACCTGCTGCACATTTCTTCTTGAAGGCTTTCTCTTCGCATTTTTGATGATCCAAAACAGTAGCAACCTTATCCAAATCAATGTCAACAAATTTTCCAGCTTCACGAATTTGTTCCTCGAACGGTGCCGATGTTTTCTCCAGCCCAGCAAGCTTTTCTTGCGCAATTCGAGATTTTGAATCCTGTACAGTTGTTAGAACAAGTTTCAATATGAAGATGCCTATGCGACCACAAAACCACTTACCATTATTCAAAACTCTCATTGACAATTCGAATTGGTCAAATTCCCCTCCCTCGTCAATAGCTCAACTTTTTTTTGGAAGCCGTTAAATCAAAAGCTGTAAGTGGCTTAGTTCCTTGACAGAAGCTGCCACCGCCCTCTAAATCAATACTAGCGCGTGCACGGATAATCATGTTGATAGAATAAATTTTCAATCTTGACGACCGTTTCGTTTCTCCCTTGCACAAAACCTCAATACAATTTCAAACGTTGCTCATTGCTAAATATGTCTCAAGACGAGATTCCACCAAGTAATGAAGGTACTGTTGCTGTTGAGGATATTGCTGCCTTGACTATTCAGGATCCTGAATCATCCGTGGCTAATGATCGTCCCGAACTTCCCCATCGTTCTCATAATCCCGAAAACAACATGAAGAGATCAGATCCGTTTCAATTTGGTTCTCGATATCTCAGTGAAAAAGACAACGTCTTCGAGTTTAATGCATGGGATCATGTCGAGACTGATGATACTTACAAGGAGTATGCAGAATTACAATATGCGAAGCAGCGCGAAGCTCCTGTATCGGAATTTGACAAAAGTATGTATTTTTCGCTTTCTCTTTTTCCAACACACTGTGCCAATTTTTGGTACAGAGCTACTATGACGATAAATCATAATTCATCTGAGGTTACTAGCCTCTGAATGATACAAATATAGCAACGTCTTTCGCTCCTATCTGACTGTAGTTTAATTTCTGAAAATTTTTGAACTTTTGTTTCTGCCAAAAACTAACAGATTTCCCAAGGCAGATTCAATTCCGATCCCGCCAAATGGTGGAACAATTTTTACAAAAATAATACTGCCAATTTCTTCAAAGATCGAAAGTGGCTCCAACAAGAATTCCCAATTCTTTCTCAAGTGACAGAGCCAACCTATGGACCTTGTACCATTCTGGAAGTTGGTGCTGGCGCGGGTAATACTGCTTATCCAATATTAAAACATAATCAAAATCCTGAATTAAAAATCCATGCTTGCGACTTCTCAAAGAAAGCAGTGGAAGTGATACGTTCGAACGAGGCATATGACACCAAGAATATTCAAGCAGACGTGTGGGATGCTGCTGGCGATGACCTTCCCCCTGGATTGGAAGAGGGTAGTGTCGATGTTGTGATCATGATCTTTATCTTCTCTGCACTTTCTCCTAGTCAATGGAATCGAGCCGTTCAAAATGTCTTCAAAATCCTCAAGCCAGGTGGCGATGTGCTATTTCGAGATTACGGTCGTGGTGATCTTGCTCAAGTGCGTTTCAAGAAAGGTCGTTACCTAGAAGAGAATTTCTATATTAGAGGTGACGGAACCAGGGTATATTTCTTTGAAAAAGACGAGTTGGTCAACATCTGGACCGGAAAACCTCCCGAGTCAGATGATCAGGCTACAGATTCATCGACAGAGCAAGAGGGTGGCTTCGATATCATTGATCTTGGTGTTGATAGAAGGTTACTTGTTAATAGAGCCAAAGAACTAAAGATGTATAGATGCTGGATGCAAGGCCGATTCAAGAAGAAGTGCTTGCCGAGCACCGATTAAAAATAAAAAAATTGTTCATGACACACTGCATTTGATTCTGTTTTTTATGTCTTGAGAATGGTGTCAACTGTTATCTGAAAAATCATCGCCACCAGTCCGTAGGGCTTCCTATCGTAGATCTTTTTGGACTTTTTGAGGCTTGGTTACCAAATCTCTTGGTTCACATCAGGCTTAGAAATCCGTTATTTCCATACATTCTCTTCTATATATCATCACAGAGCTAAAGAGAAGCGAAATTGCAAAAAAATCTTGCATCTCACCTCAGCTCTCCTATCATCTGAAGTTCTCAGCCGAACACAATACAGCAAGGATTGGCTTTGCAGTATTGGAGCTCGGGCTTCGGCGCCATTGAACTCTTCTTTCATCACAAATAATTCTAGTTAATTGTGAATTACGCAGCCTTAGTGTAGCAGCCATTAATACCTTACTACACTAATGCCCTTGACTACAACAAACCTTTCCCTATAACAATCTCAATTAAACAATATCTACTTACGGATTGGCAAGCTCAATTTGCGAAACTACGGTTCCATTTTGTTAATATTATCAAGAAGCCCCCAAGCTTTACAGCATTGTAGTCCTATTCCATTACTTTTTTTGCAACAACTTCTACAATATCTCAGATACTACTAGACTCAAGTTCTGATGCATATAGAGACAAGGTGGCTGAAAAGCTTGTAATACTGAAACCCTCGTCACCTCCTTGAAGAACATGCCCTGCAGAACCTGAAATAAAAAGACAAAATGATTGATAAGCTTGGCTTCAGGCTGTCAAACTAAATCTCCCATCACTTCTTGAGGGAAAATACCTTGCCACACCTCTGGACTTTTCTTTTGAACTATTACATACCAATCAACGACGATGCCACCGAAGGAAGAGCAATCAAAGAGAAAACAATCTGCCGCAACTCGCGAGCCAGCTAAACTAGCTAAGAATCGTCGAACTATTAAGCCACAAGAAGATAGACAGGCACTGCAGCAAGATGTCGAAGAGCCAGAGGTCAAGGCAGAACCAATGTCAGAAGATGAGGCACCACTTGCTGGTAAGTCATATCACGTACCATTTCTTTAGAAAACAATCTAACATTGCTGTTAGTTACACCCAGAATTAAGGTCGAACAAGGACATGATGATGACGCCGAGGCAGATGACGAAGCTTCAGACCTCCAGGAAGGAGACGACGTGGATGAACGGCTGGAATCTTCTGAGAGCGGGCCGGAGGTAAATACCCCTAATGATGAAACAGATTATGAACATTACATGGCGTAGGAATTTGACGATCCTGAGTATCACGAAATACGACGCAAACGTGTAAGCCTCATTCTCGGTCCTGTGTATAATTAAGCTAATATGGTGAACGCAGAGATTGAGGTATCGCCGTTGCTCAACTTACCGCAAATTCCTCGTTTGATCGAAACTCTTCGTGGTGATGGCAGTAATACTTCGGATCAACGCCTCACAGCTAGTTTCGGAACGAACAGGCTCCCGAATTTCTTTGATGAATACGGAACCCGCCATCACATGCCCGTCGAGATCTTCAAGCAAATATTAGACTGCCTGTATCAACAGAAAGATGACATTACCGCTACTTCGGTATCTCTTACCAATGTTTTTAATTACGGACTTGTATTCGATATCTTTGGACTCAGTATGTGTGAAAGAATCAATGATTTACTACAGCTTCGACCAGTGGAACTATGGGAGACGAGTTTTTTCGAACTCCCATTTCTTTCCGCGCTATCCTCGAGGCCTAAAGTTTGCCTTCGACGTGTTCTTCATTCGTGGTTTCCAGAACGTCTCACGTGGATCTAGTATGGCCAAAAACGTATGTATCATGGTCAGATCTCCCTCAAGCTTATGAGAAGATATATAAGAAGAACTAAAGCGGAAGGACAACGGGGGGCGCTTAAGGAACATCGAACGCGACTCAGACAAGCTCGGGAGAATAAGTTGCAAAGGCAGAGAGACCAAAAAGAGCGTATCGAAAATAGACGAAACAGAAGAATTGCTAGGCTGTCAGAAATAAGAGAAGCACATGCGGAGGACTGAGAATCTCCAGATGATCACGATTGCGTTGAGAGCCTATGTGCTCTTAATCCCGAAACGGCCCGTAACAAAATACATTATATCTTTTCCGGACGCGATCCGATTACGGATTCCGAGGCAACCCATTCTTGTGTCGAAGACTCGGATGATATAGGATGGGCGACTGAGGACTCGGTACTAGCATCGTGGTTTAATCAAGAACATGATATAAATGCCTACAGTCACAACATTCCTTTATTGCGATATCCTTCACTTTGTAGTTGTTGAAAACTCGGCAGAGAATAGGGCTGGTGTCAATTGCGATATAAAATGGATGTAGTCGAAGGAATCTAGAGGACTTAAGAGTTGAAGAATTACTAATTACGCATCAAGTGACCATTGATTACAAATTGCTAGCGGTAAATTTGGTGAATTGAATTTAGAGGTGGTGACTGGTTGAATAGCACATAGAATTTCTGGTCCGGTGTATAATACGTTGTTTTCAATATCAGTTGTATTATCATAAGCGAGAGGAAAGGGGGGGAGAGCAAGGTTGAATGCGAGAGTTTTCATTGATTCTCGCGAGAGGCGGCAATGAAGCAAATTGAGGAGAGTTGAAATATTTGCTTTCATTTCCAAATAGAGTTATTGCGAATTGCATTTCCATTGACAAAGGCCTTGTGGGCTATTTTATCCACCGGGGTAGCTATATCTTGATGTGAATCTCGAGTAACAATTGGTCCTAGAAAGTTGTTGCCTTTCCCATTCGTGAACAAAGACAGAATTGTCTCCTACGAGAATCTTTATCTTGTGTTAGTTAAAAACCCCCGCAAATGTATTAGTGTCATGAATTTGCTGCCCAAACAAAGGGGACTTGACCATTCGGCAATCTAAGAACTTATTTTCGTGAGAAATAAATCGTAATGTAGCAAGTAATTTTTGTTCTCTAAACCATTCTTTCCATTTGTATATTTGATATATAACACCCGTAACAATGGTGCACCAACTTCGTGAAAATATACCAGCTGTTAATGTGCAGCCAACCTTCCACCTGATCGAAGCGGAGATCCTAGATCTTTCATATGAGGCATTGGTACTACAGGTTGATGGCAATGTGAGATTGGATAAAACAGCAAGAGATCCTGCCGCCTGGAGAGATCGTGTAGGTGTTAAAGTGGCGGGCGGCCCTAATGGCAAACCTCCTGGTCAAATAGCAACTAAACTGGCAGCGCTACCAACCGTTCCTCGTTTAGGTGATAGGTGCACAATGTCTTTGTGTGGTGCGTAAAATTCACGGGTACTTGCTAAGGCCTTTAAACAGTAAATAATAATGCTTACATGTGTACAGGACAGTTTGGAACGCTTGGAGCCCCTGGAGCCATGCCGCTTATGCTACTAGCGGTTAGAGTTGATGATCCTCACGATGATAGACTTCAACCCCCTCCGCTTGGAATTGCAATTGGAAAGGCGAATTCTGATCACTTTTTGAGGAGAGGGGTTTCTCATATAATGTCCCGCGCAATGAATATCAGAAGGGGAATTCCTGACGACTTTAATCCCGACGATGCTGATCAAGTCAATGAAAATCAATGGCAAATGGATCCACCTCTATCTATTGCATTCCCTCTGATAGGATGTAGAACAGGGTACGGATATACTAACGCAGCCGAGTAAGTCTGGATTCTCTACGGATTGTAATGTCTTTAGTTTTCAGTCGTGCTTCCTCAAGCTCTTTTTTTTTGCTTTGGTATCTCCTCACCATACGCCTGGTTGAATTTCCGAAACTACTTGATCTCCTCTCGTGGGTAAGTGCTAACTTTCCATCTTTCAGAAATATCCTGAGCGCAGTCCTTGGATGGTATCACGATCTAAGATACACCCCACAATTTGGTGACGCTGCAATGCGCGCTTTCAACATTTCAGATATATATCTCGTCGTTCCTCCAAGAACCACTTTGAATGTGCGCACTCTAAAGCCTTCATTAATTCAATCTGCCTGGGAAAAGGCATGGGAGTAAGTGACACTCCCCCATGTTTCTACTGTAATCTGTTTTATAAACCACACGATGTCTTGTGATACGGGTATTGACTGTCTCATCTTTAGTCGATATCTGCCACCTGCTCTTAGCATCCCACCCGTACGTTGTGCTAAAGATGTCGAAGACATCCTGACCGATCAGATTCGACAATACAGCACCAAATATTGGACACCAGGCCTTGGTCAGGTGTTATTGATTGATGGTGTGGATAATGTGGCAGGAGGGTTTCCACTAAACCTCACCCCGTGGCTACCGGAGAATATCACTGATGCCTGGATCAGACGTAATTGTAGAGTTCTTAGAAAAGGCACAATAAAGAGAATAACTGAAATTTGACTGTGGCATAACTTTAAAGGCAAGGGGGGAAAGAAGACCATAGACTAGAGGAGTTTGCTGAATTATGATTTACCTTAAAAACAGAGTTTTAATCATTGAAAACTTAAAATGTCTTGAGGTACTTCAAAAGTCCATCTTACCTATGACTTAGAGTAAAAATGAAAGATTTTCACTTGGAGACAATTTGTACTAAGGCCAGGGAAGGAAGTACGACGGAAAAAAAGCTCCACATAACATCCACGTGCTGCAATGTGAATGAAAGACTCTATAAATGATACGATTGTGAAGCTGGTTGCGTCCCCGCTCAATAGCCCTCAACAATTCTCATGTATAAGGTTCAACATTCAAGGCAGTGAAAAGTAGGAACTCCGAAGGTATAAGTTGAAAGTCTGGCAACGAAAGATATTGATTCCCTAGGACAATCAAAGTGTTTAGACAATTTAAAACAACGAATTCGTTTCGCAATTCAAAAAATTTGGCAGTGATGGAGGGTCACATACAGTCTACTAGTCCAGAGAATTCAAAAAAGCTGATTCTGACTAGAACAAAAGGACGATATCAATTGCAGTGCGCATAATCGCTGGGCGTGCAGCTATCCAGTTTGAAAAAGCTATGACTGTCTGTCTTAAGGAGGATCGCATTGCTGATGCATTCATCATTGCCAATTGTGGTGGTAAGGAGTTGTTAGACAAAGTTCAAACTGCCTACTTGGCCAAAAAGGCAGAAGGTCCCAACTATCTGCGACTCCTTAGCTCAGTCATTGGCAAAAACTTGTGGGATGTCGTATACAATGCTGACCCTACATAGGTTTATCGTGATGATATACATTCACGATAAAAATATTACCAAATCAATTTGTCCTGACCATCCACCGATACTTAACTATAGCTCTCGTCCATTAAAACAGACTTTCCTCCTGATTTGACATTGAACCCCCACTGCTGCTAACATTGCGACAACATGGGCATGCTCGTATACCTTATCAGAACCATATTTTTAATTTCAATTCCAACCCTAGTTTCAACAAAGAAACCACAACCATTCAATCAATCCCTTTGAACATGACAGTTCTGACAATAACGTTGGAACTACGCACTGATCAGGTGGCCGTTTATAAATAAATACGCGCATACAAACCTGCCCCTGGTTCTACAACCTGCTGACCATAAGCGAGCCATCTCCCTGAGCCTCGGGGTTTATCTAAACCCCGCCGAATCCGCAGATAGGAAATAAGCTAAAGCGAACATGCAAAAGTCGTTCCTTACACGAAATATTTTTCACATTTCCCTTTTTGGATGCAAAAATAGTGAAGAATGTAAGATGAAGTGGGGATTAAGAGCTCATTTTTACCAATGATTGCTATGCTGATGACTTTCCACCAATAGTGTCTGCGTGGCGTCGAGACGATTCAATCCGTACTATGCAACACGAAGCTGTTTAAAAGTCTAGGCAGATATGATGCAGATATATCGTCCTTTCATTGAGGGATGGAGATGTCAGATTCAAACATTCCGCATATTATGAGAGTAATTATAAATAGATAACATTCCCCCAACTTAAAATGCAGCAGCTTGCTCCAGTTTAACATCATCAAGATCACCAAGCGCCAAGCATAACAACAAAAACTTAGAACATGGCTTACAAAAACTCCATTATCGTCACTGGTGGAACCATTAACCTGGGCTACCAAGCTGCTCTCAAGATAGCAAAAGAACATCCAGACTACCTCATCATCATCGCCTCCCGGTCCGATAAAGAAAACTCTGCCGAATCTATCAACAAAACTCTACATCAAGACAATACTGTTTTCATGCAACTCGATCTTTCCGATTCGAAAAGCGTTCGAAGTTTTGCTGAGAGATGGATCGCTGATTCAACGAAACCCCAAATTAAAGCTTTGGTTTTGAACGCCGGTCTTCAATTCCCAGCCGGTCTCGTGATGACACCCGAGGGATTGGAAGCAACTTTTGCCATTGCTCATGTGGGACATGCACTTCTTTTCTTTCTATTGTGTCCATATCTCGCGCCTGATTCCCGCGTGGTTCTGACTTCGAGCGGTACACACGATCCAGCACAAAGGACTGGTATGCCTGAACCCGAATACAACACCGCAGAGGATCTCGCACACCCTCCAGAATCCATGATCACGATGTCAGGCCGCAAGCGTTACACCACCGCTAAGCTTTGTAACGTACTATTCGCCTACGCGCTATCGCGTAAACTCGCCGAACGAGCCCCTGAGCGTCATATCACCGTTACGGCAATGGATCCTGGTCTCATGCCAGGTACTGGATTAGCAAGAGAAGCAAACATGTTCGAGCATTGGCTTTGGAATTCTGTTCTGCCACACCTGATTTGGTTGCTACGTTTGGTTGCGATACCGAACACACATACGCCAGCAGAATCAGGTGGTGCACTTGCTAGACTTGCGACTGCTGCTGATGTTGAGGGCACGACAGGGAAATACTTTGAAGGACTGAACGAGACCAAGTCGAGTAAAGATAGTTATGACGAGAGTAAACAGGAAGACTTATGGGATTGGACGGTCAGCTATTTGGCAGAGGACGAAAGGGAGAAGGTGAGATTTGAGTCACTTAAGTGAGAGCAGACATTAAAACAAGTCAATGAAAAAACTCATCTACATTTACCAATGTCTATTGTAAGAATAATGCGAATGAATGCTGTAAACATTTCGTTCCGCTAGCCAAGAGATCAGGATTTCCGTAATGTCTTGTGGCGGTTGAAAAGGAGTTGAGAAAATCTAGATGCATGATTTTCACACATAGTCGAAAGACATACCAATTGTTATTATCGATGGAAGAGGAAGGTTCTTTTAGATGGCTCTAGCATAGTACACTGAGTGGGGCATGTCGGAGAAAATCAATATTAAGCTCCCGCTGGGCAAAATCACGACATCGCAAATTTTACCCAACAATCCTCGCAATTCCTAATCAATTTCATCTTTAATTGAATCCCATATTCAGTGAACCAATGAGAAAGAAATGAGTTACCTATGAAAATCCACTTAATCCCGAAACTTTTGACAGCTTTCGGTTCACGACGGCATGCCTAGCTTCACATCCGTCATACTATCTAGATTTGTTCTTCTTAACTTCTTGTAGAAGCTTGGATTAATATCACGTCTTCATCTCACCATATCCATCATGTTCTTATGTACACTTAAGAATCTTCTGATTACCTTTTGATGTTTTGCTGAACCTTCTTACTTTGTAATATTAGCGAAACCCTCGATTTATTGCCCTTTCACATATAATTCATAACCTTGAGTACTCACTCGGCTATCCAATATCCCTTGAACCGTCATAGAATTCAGAGCTTCAGTGGTATCCAAAATATCGACAGGATCTCTGTTCTCCAGAAATCAACGCCAAAAATATGAGAGACTATTCAAATAACTCATCGAATCTTCCTAAATATGGCGGGACGGATCAAATTGGAGAAAGCCCAAAGACGGGAGTTGGAACACAAAGCAATTATAGTCAAGGTACAATTAGAGAACCATCCTAATAATCGACTGGTCTTCCTAGCTCGTGATTTCTGACTCTCAGACAGAAGAAGGGGAATCGGCTTATCGAACCAACGATGCGCGCCGTCAAATTGGCCCCATTTCAGCCATCTTCTTGATCTTCAATCGCATGATCGGAACCGGAATCTTTTCGACTCCAAGTACCATCGTTGCTCTTTCCGGATCTGTCGGACTGGCACTCTTTATCTGGGTTGCAGGTATGCTGATTGCCGCAGCTGGTCTTGCGACATATATGGAATTTGGTACCGGACTTCCACGAAACGGTGGTGAAAAGAACTATCTCGAATATGTCTTCCGAAGACCAAAGTTCCTCATCACTAGTATGTATGCTATGTATGTAGTACTCCTCGGTTGGGCGGGTTCAAATTCTGTGGTATTTGGAGAATACATTCTGAGTGCCGCCGAAGTTGAGGTAACTCGTTGGAACCAGCGTGGAGTAGGATTGGCCTGTATCACAGCCGCTTTCTTGATTCATGGCTGTTCTGTAAGATGGGGATTGAGACTTCAAAATCTTTTGGGTGTCATCAAGCTTCTGATTCTTCTCCTGATCATCATCTCGGGATTTGTTGCGCTCGGTGGCTATCTCAGGATCGAGAAGCCAAACAATTTTACAAATGCCTTCGAGGGAACGACTGGTAGCGCGTAAGGAAACTTCCCTCAATTCAAATCATCATCTGACTTTGTGTAGGTACGGAGTTGTCACAGCTCTCTATAACGTCATCTGGAGTTATATCGGCTATAGCAATGCCAATTATGCGCTCTCCGAAACCAAAAATCCAGTCAGAACACTCAAGATGGCCGCACCAACAGCTCTCGCTATAGTTGGTGTGCTTTATATGCTTGCAAACGTATGTTGGCGAGATAGGAATTTGCCAGGGAATCATGCTGATGTATAGATTAGATTGCTTATTTTGCCGCCGTGCCAAAGGAAGAAATCATGACTTCGGGTCGTATATTGGCTGCTTCATTTTTCAGAAACATGTTCGGATCCCGCGCTGAACGTGTATTGTCTGTTTTTGTTGCCCTTTCAGCATTCGGAAATGTTCTTAGTGTCATATTCTCTCAAGGCAGAAGTAGGTCGCTTCATATGACTTCCATCAGAATATCTTGCTAACAATCCTTAGTTGTACAAGAAATTGGTCGAGAAGGAATCTTGCCATTCTCCCGACTTTGGGCAAGTAACAAGCCTTTCAACACACCATTCATGGGCCTCTTTGAACATTGGCTGGTGTCTGTGATCATTATGTTAGCTCCACCACCAGGAGATGCTTATAACTTTATTTTGAAGTATGTCCCCGTTCCCTCAAGATCTTGTTATTGTTTAACTGACACCACTCAGTGTCATCTCATACCCACTTGCGGTAGTGAATGTCTTTGTATCTCTCGCTCTGCTCATCCTTTACGCTCGATCATTTTCAGCGGATCGCCATCCACAACATTGGGCCCCACCTTTCCGTGCTACTTGGCCTGTGGTATCATTTTTCCTTCTCTCGAATGTCTACCTTGTCATTGCACCATTTGTTCCACCTGATGAGGGACAAAATGTATACGAGAGTCTGCCATACTACCTTCATTGTGTTGTGGGCATTGCATTCTTCGGCGCAGGAGCAATTTACTGGTTACTTTGGGCTCAAATATTACCCAGAATTGGTGGATATAAACTCGTTCGAGAGAACATCGTCACCGATGACGGGTGGAGTGGAAGTGTCTTTAGAAGGATCAAATCAGAATAGATGACGAGAAGCAATTGGAGTAACAATGGGGCAAAGGAGTAGAAATTGATGGTATCAACACTTTATAAGAGTAATCATAATAACAACAACATATTCAACATGTAATAGAAGGTATATAATTGAGGTTCTGATGCATATGATCGTTGATGTTGTTGTTGATGTTAATGTATTACAATACTCGTACTAGTTGTGTAAATAAGGCTGAGATATGACATCCAATCACATATACGCTATACCTCATGCAATCTAGCTTAAAATGCCACCCTATCATACCCGCTTCCCGCCTCCCGCCTCCAATCCAGATGAACATGTTCACAAAGCAACTTATGTCAAACTCACCTTGCAGTAAATTCACAACGCATAACTATAATGCTTCATTGAGACCCACAATCACCTGGATGCCTCAAATACCGCGTCGTTCTCCTCGCGCAAATTGATATCTGTTGTCCGTTAAACAATGGCACCACTACTCGAAGATCCTCGTATCCGACAGACCTGGAATCAATTCTCACAGAATGCGGAACATGCAACAGAAAATGCTGCGGCAGGAATATGGACTTTTCAACATAATTATTTAAATCCTTGCTTTTCGACTATTGGTAACGGCTTCAATTCGTGTACAGCACAATGTTTTCCGGGACAGGAAGAAAGGGCGAGGAGATTGCGGGAAAGAGGGCGTACAAGAGGACGCGCAGAGTTTAGTTTCGATTTTTATGACGATTGGGATGAAGATGAAGGCATTTTAGGAGGATGGGGAAATGATGAGTTGGATAGACTATTGGCAGGAAGTGGATCGCATTCCGGAAATGTGAATGAAGCGCCAAAGAGGAAGAGAGGGATGAGTTACGGAACAAGAGGAAGAAAGAAAGGATTAGAAAGCGACCCTACGATTATACCGAGTACAAGCGCTATAGGATTTCTAGGACGTTTACCTTGGAAGTTAGGCGGAACACTGAGATACAAACCCAGCGCTGCAGATCTACAAGAACATCCTGGAGCGCATCGATCGGATTATAATGGAGTTGGAGAGGAAGCAGATGCATTAATGGGAGACGATCTTGATGATGATGTGCGGGATTTCATGAGAGGACACACGAGAAATAGGAGTTCGACGCAAAGTTCAGGAGAAACTTCGGATTCATTTCGATCGAGAGGGGATTTATTCCCCAGTGATGAAGAAGACGCGGTACCTTTAAGTGACGAGTTTGCAATGGTACTTGAAAGGCGAAACACAAATTCTGGTACAGACGATAAGAGCAGTGGGAAAACACGAAGTAGTAAAGGTAAAAGACCGGCGCAGTCAAGGGATGCATCACGAACTACACAATCATCGCAAAAAATACGACCAAAAGGCGTCCGCTCGGGTTCAGGGACGACATTACAGAGTCCCCCAGATCTTTCGGAGCCTGACTTGATCAATACCTTGTCAATTGAAGACTTACAACTAGAAGAGGAAAGGATACGTTTAGAAGAAGATGAAGAAGTGGAAAGGAAACGACAAGCAGCGCTACGATTAGCTCAGGAACGAGGACTTCATGCAGAGGACATCTTGGAACCTATTTCATCAGAGCCAAAACAAGATTTAGAGGAAGTAGAAGATGAGTCAACTCCACCTGAATCAATCGGGGTAATACAAGTAACCGAACTACCTGGAGCTCAATCAGAATCACAAGATGAGGAAGATACCACGGAAATAAAGGATATTGACAACGACAAAGAAAATAATTTTGTCCCTGCAAGACTACCAAACTTTGGTTGAAGGCATTCCATAAAAGGCGTCTCATGGCCAACTTTGAAGAATTCTTCGAGACAGCTATGATAAAAAGTTCACATTCGACAGATTCACCATTACCAAACCAAGCCTGGGTGTGCCCCGACGGTTGGATTGAGATACCGGTACGCGCACAATCATCGTCTTTCAGAAGCATAGAGTTTTCTCAAAGAAAGGAGAGATCATCGTACGTACTGCGCACGGGGAGTTATACTTTTCATCAGTATCAGATGACGAGGGCATGAAGAATACAAACTTCAAGCTACAGTTCCCGGAAGATGTCGCGTTGAGTTGAACAGATCGGTAGACCACAACCATGCCCTCCAAAATCTCAGTCTCACGCAAATTATCCCCGTAAAATGTATCTGCACAGCTCATTCGAGCGCGTGAGACTTCGACGACGATCATTCATCGTAAGCCAAACGAGCTGGAATGAAAGTCGTGGACTAGGAGGCAGGGAAAGGACAAGAAAGAGGATTGTTAAACATCCCACTACAAGTGACAGATTACAGACAACATTTGATAATCGATAAACATCAGAATAGGCAGACGGGCGTTACCGGAGACAGACAGAAGAGAGAATATGCGAAGTGCTCGCTATACTTGATGATGGATGACTCTGGGTGTTCATTGGATGATTTGGTTCATATGATTCATATTATATGTGATGAGATGATGTAATCCGATCATCACAGACAGGAGTTTGGGCTGGGTTGTCTAGTATGTTTGGAGGTGGTAATGTAATCTGTTTTATGGGCTATGGAGTATAGGATGGAGTATAGGATGGAGTATGAAGTATGGAATATGGAATGGGATGGAATATGTGATTGCAGATGAATGGGATGGGATGGGATGGGATGGGATAGGATATGATATCTAGATATTGTGGATAGTTCAATGGAGCGATCAATAAATAAATCATACACGCTTTCTAGGAAAATTGTGTTACTATGCGGTGGAGCGTGGTGTGGGTAGTTGTAGTGAGTGCTAGCTCGTTGGTATTGAATTCCTATTGTCTGAACAGGTATCATTTATTTTTTTATCTTTTGGTCAAGATATATCAATTAAGCACATTAGCCCCCAATCCGGCGAAAGAGCACATATATATCTACGTAGGTAGGTAGTACTCCGTACCTAATCAGTCAAGCCACAGTCCTAGATCACCATACTTTTTTCTCCACCCAAACCGCAATCTATTAAACCCCCCTGATCATACAATCCCCATCTCTTCTCCTCTCCTATCTTCCCACATCCTCTCCTCCCCCTAACCCCAAACCCCCCTCACAATTTACTCTTCCCCGCCTTCCCCACCCCCGCACTCAAAAACCCATCCGCCTTCCTCAACATCTCCACCGCCTCGCCAACCATCTCATCCACAATAACACCCGCCGGTTTAATATCCTCAATCACCCCCGCCACCACCCCCATCAAATGCGGAATATCTACGTCTTTTCCCTGCTCCATATCGTATTCGAGGGGCGTGATACCTTTCTGAGTTAATTCTTTGATTTTGGCCGGTTGGGATTCCCAGGCTTGTATATACTGTAGAGGGGGTGGGATGTTAGTATGATAAGTAACTCGTGAATAGATAATACAGGGAGATTGTAATAACAAGGATGATTAATACGGAAAGAGGAAAAGTGATAATAATAATAAAAAAGGGAAATCTCACATCATTCATCTTAACCCTCAACGGTCTCCCCGACACAACTAACGTCCTCAACGTATCTTCAAACCTCGCACTAACTACCTCTTCCTTATGAATCCTACTGCACCCCGCCTCCTCACTCGCGACAAACCTCGTTCCCACCCACACTCCACACGCCCCCTGCATCAAACTACTCGCCAAACCCCTCCCATTATAGATCCCTCCCGCCGCAACAACCAACGCCGTCTCTCCCTTCAACATCGCGGGTTTATATTTCCGCGCCACATCCACCACCGCCGGTATCAGAATACTATTCGGGATGTCCCCCGTATGTCCGCCGCCCTCTCCTCCCTGCGCACACACAATATCAACCCCCGCATCCAAAGCTTTCACAGTATGTTTCGGAGCGCCAACCATATTCATCACGAGAATCCCAGCATCGTGCAACCGTTTTATGACGTGTGGAGGCGGAATCCCAACAGCGGATATGAATAGTCGTGCGCCTTCTTCGATGGTCACGTCGATAAGCGCATCGAGTTGGCCGTGGGTATAATCGTGGTTTGTGGCGCGAGCGCCCTCGCCTACTTTGGGGAGAGCGAGATCGACGCCGAAGGGGAGAGAGGGGTCTGATAGGTTGGCTTTGAGGGAGTGGATTATCTCGCGGAGTCTGGAGGGTGTTAGAGAGGTTTATGGGAGAGGGATGGGGAGGGGGGATGTACTGTTGAGGTGTGTATCCTAATCCTCCTATACATCCCAATCCACCTGCATTACTGACTGCAGCTGCAAGTGGACCGCCAGATGTACGAGCCATGCCGGCGAGGATTATAGGATGTTTGATACCGAGTAACGCGGTTAGGGGAGTGGTTATTGGGCCTTGAGTCGCCATTGTGTATTGATTTTTGTATTTTCGTGATATCTGTTTGTAAGATTACAACTTATGGTACTAAGTTTTGGATTTGCAGAAATTCAAGGAGGGTACATAGATATAGACAACCTCAGCAATTGATCTGGGGAAATAGACGTGTGGAGAAGATGAACAAAATTGAAGTGAAACATGGTAAAAAGATAGATAGATAATATGGGGCAAGACGGATAAGCTCGTTGTGGAGTAAACAAAATCAGGGGTTCTGTGGGGAAGCACCGAGGTTATCGGATCGATAGATCTGCGATTCGTTGAGTTGAGGTTGTAGGGGTCGAAAGGAAATCACATGAAAGAGAACGACGCTATATATAAATATTGAATCGCGAAGAGATTGGATTGATCAAAATGTATTAACATCTCGATATGGGGTATATCTACATTATTAGAAAGTGCTCGCCAGGTATAGCATAAAACGATTATGATATCCGAATTCCTCATTACTTCCACTCCTTTCGCGTTGTTCGACCCATTGATCCTCCCGCACCTTTGCCCTCCTCACACCCCCCTCCCCTCCTCCCCCTCTCAACAACAATGTGAAATCTCAAATGCCGGCGGCACCGCCCCCTTCTCATTCCTCATCGCCAGTAAATAATAATAGATCGTCATACTATCCTCAGGACTATCATGAAGCAAGCTCCGCCACTCGCTCTTAAACATGATATACAACGCCGGTCCGAACCCATTAAACTTGCGTGCCGTTTCGTAGGCGATGATAGTACCGCGTTCGCATTTCTGCAGAACCATGAGAAAAATCCACAGACGACACGCGGATCGAGGCCACGTCCATTGAGGAACGCTCTCGGCGGTGATTATGTCTCCGCCGGGGAAATCGCGAAGTTCGGCTTCGAGATAGCCTGCGAGTCGAGATTTCGAATTCGGAGATAGTAAAGCAGATTCCGAATGTTCGCCAGGTGTCTCTGATTCTGAGGATGATCGGGATGCCATTTCAAATCGGTCTTGAGATTCTTTCCCGATGGCTGAATAACTCGATGTCAGTAATTTGGAGGGGAAGAAATGTAAACGAAACGTTATTTGTTGAACCTCCACCATCATGATCCCACATTCAATAGGTATACATACTTTCCGATCTTCCCTCTCCAGGTCTCAATTTCTCCTCTGCTGCCTCCTCCTCTCTTGTCTCACTCTTCACCCCTTCTAAGATCGTTGGAAAATGTGACATTTAAGAGTTTAAAGTTCAAAACGGTAACCTGAAAGTAGCAGAATTGTATCGAAGTTATGATCAAGGTTCAGGTTAAAAGGTTTAAATATCTATCAACACAGGCCTTTGAGAAAAATGGAAGGATATGTAAAAGTGAGTTACTTTTAAAGTATTGTTAGATGGTAGTTATCTACTTATAAACCGCATTCTAGGAAAGTACTTGGGTACACAATCAGGGTCTTGAAGATTCCGTGCGAACGTCATTAAGAGCTTTATTAGAGTATAGTACCTAGTCGTTTGGAAGGGAGTCTGGATCCTCCACATACGCTACAAGGTCTACCCCGCCTCCTAGCCCTTTTGCCGCGTTCTTAACTTCGCACTAACCACCTGCGATCTTCAGTCCTGAAGATACTTTGATATGTCAATAAACACGTACTTCAGAGCCTCATTCACTGCTACTGAAATTATGAATCTGATGCGAGTAATTGACTCTTCTCTGATCAACTGTCATATCAATGATAATGTCGTATCTAAATGTACCCTCGTGGTGAAAATATGGAATCATCAAGCTACCTAGGAATCGAGATCCCCAGTGGTCATATGCTATTACTGACATACTTTATATTCATCCAACTAATCCCTATCTACATCAATTAATGAATCATTGGTCACCATCTTACTGCCCAAGCTCTACAAAGTCTCAAGTTTAGATCATCAAAGTCCTCACCCTCCCTTCCTTCAATCTCCTCGACTCATCTTCGAGACTACTGTTAAACGCTCGCATACTCCACCCGCAGATTCAGGTCCATCCGCTCCCTTTTTGATAGCAATCCCCCATCTAAATATCCTTCCTCCACCAATCTCAAACCATGTGTGAAAGCATTCCAAACTCTATCATCGGAAAGCGCAGAAAACTCATCGTGACCTTCAAAGAAACTTGAGTAATACGAATGAATCAGACCAGTTGTGTAAATTGTCAGATTATCGATGTATTTCCTCGGTTGATGAGTCGTGGTTCCATCGTACACGATATTGTCATCATCATCTCCGAGCTGACCATTCTGCTTTTGCTCAAGGGGGTCACTGAATAATGATGAGAAGAACCAGAGTTTGGACTTCGAGATGCGGATGGAAGGAGGCTGGGAGGGATGGCTGTGGGGAAGGGTGGGGTTTTCAGAGTGCGGACGGAATAAAACATAGGCAGTAATTTCATCGATAGGGTTCTTCTGCTCGTGGGCCTTCTTCTCGATGTGAAATTGTTTGGTGCTGCGAGGAGACATCGATCCTTCTTGTTCGAATTTTGTAAGGTGTTTCCATGAGTTCGACGAATTCGATAAATTCGACGATAGAAGATGATCTACACTAATGATTTAGTTATCTGGAAAAGATACTGCTTGATGTTGTAGATCTGGAGTACATACGCATTGTATCCAATGGCTCACCAAGTCCCAACTCTACTCTCATGGTTTGATCATCTCGAGCCAAGCTCCATTCACAAAGCAAATTCTCCAACTGATTCTTAAGCTTAACATCCAATTCTTCTACTCTAAAATGTGTTAAATTGGCTTGAATCTGATGTATCTTCTCTACTGCGCCATCGAGATCTTTCAATAAGGTCTTGAGATCCATGATTCGTGATTGATACACCGAGATAGACGTAACAGTAGTATCACATAAATATGAAGAAGCTCAGAAGACAAACAGAAAGTCGAATCATAAATTGTATATTGAGTGGAAAGTGATAAGTGGAGAATGGGGGAAGCTGGGAGAGGGGTATTGGATCCAGACAACAAGATCAGGCAGAAATAACAGGCATTTTTCTCGCTTCTAGCAAGGAGAGTGAATCGCAACCCAATTTTCCAATGAAAAGGTCGTTCCTGTTACTTGCGCCCCCTTACATATCGACATACCTTTGAACGCGAGAGAAACAAGAAAAAGAATGCCGATGGATGGGTGTTTGCCAACTTGTGAGTACCCAAGTACAACCTTATAGAATGGAAAAAATGAAAGAAAAAAAAACGGCAAAAAAACGACAAACATATCTCGACCAGAGCTCCGGACCGACTGGCCGCTACACCAAAACTAAATCCTCATGGAATTAGGATGCAAACCTGATGCATTCTAAATCCTAACGTATTGTATTCAGGGAATACGGATGAGGGTTCAATTGCTGGATCGCTACACCACTAAGGCATCATTTGGTATGGAGGAAGCGAGGTTGTTTGGATATCCATATATATCCAAGTGGCTATGGCTGAAGATACTGGTTAGTAACTTCACCAGCCATGATCATCCAGATACTCTTGGGGAAAAGATATCATATCCATAAATCAATCAACTAATAAATTCAAAAGGTTGCAAAACTAGGTATTAAGAGCTATCAATTTTGGAATTACATGCACTTGCAGAACCAAGCATTTGATGGTTCAGTACCTAGATCAACCGCGTACTCATTTTATCATTCCTTCTTGCTTTTTTCTATTCATAACTATATATATAAGAAGATTGTCTCCTTCTAAAACTGTATCAAGGTATCTATGCATCATGTATCCAGATTTTCACACTCCATCTATCCTTTTACGGATCCTCATTCAGACTTTCAATCATCACAAAATTCTCACAACCTTCAATTGTCCCTCTCCACCATCAACCTCCACCCAACCGCCTCCTTCAATCCTCTTTTTCCACTTATTGCTCTCATCTCTTGCCGTCACAATCGTCATTCTCAGTACTACGCCTTCTCCTTGGCTACTCTCATGTTCCTTCTCCAATTGTTGTTCTTCCATTTTTGTGCTTGTCCAACGACCAAAAGCCCAGTTGAGTATGTACTTTGCAGGTTTTGATGTGAGATCAGAAGTAGAATTTGATGAGGATGAGGATACAGAGATGTCGGATTCGGGCAGCGAGAGAGAAGAATCGGAAGGTGGAATAGGAGAACCTGAGGATAAAACTGCCTTGATGCGGTATACTTCATCTTTGGGTGCTTTGGTGAGGAGTTTGTTGAGGGAAGCGAGAGATATTGCTGAGGATGGAGAAGATGATGTGAGGGTTATGGATAGGACTTCGACTTCGGATTGATGGTCGTGAGAGTGTTCGTGTTTATGCTCCCTATCCTTATGATCATGACTATGACCATTCTCCTTTCCATCAACATCATCGACCAGCCCTCTAGCCAGTCCTCCGTCAACTCCGCACACAACATCTACTCCCACTGATCCCTTATCACTCTTGACCCAAGCGACCTGAACTTCCAAATCCCCTAACCTATCCAAACATTCATCAAACCTTCTCTCACTAACTCCTTCCCACTTATTAAAAACCACCAAATCTGTATATTTCGCCTGTAATCTCGCCGTATAACTCGTGTCTTCATACCCCTTCCAATTCTCCACATCAATCACCGAAATTACACCATCCAATACATAAGCCCCTTTTGTCTCCCTCGCAATTCTATTGACTTCCATGGCTAACGTAGCAGGGAAAGCCGACCCAGATGTCTCAATTATAATTCTATCCAAACTCCCCTTCTCTTCCTCCCCATTTGATTCGTTGACTTTGACTGGTAAACTTTCCTGCAGTTCTTGAAGCGCCGAAGATAGAGAACCGACGAGATTACAACATATACATCCGTTGAGCATTTCCCGCACAGAAGTAATAGAAGATGAAGAAGCAAGTTGGGAATCGACGGCTAGATCTCCGAACTCATTTTTGAGAAGAGCGAGACGGTAGGAGGGATTGAGGGCGTGTAGTTGTGGGAGAAGGTTGAGAATTAAAGTCGTTTTCCCTGAGCCGAGGAAGCCGGTAAGGATAGTTATAGGGATTGGCGACATGATGAGAAATTCGAAGTGAGTTTGAAAGAGGGTAGTGAAATTCGTGGTGATTTAGAGTGGCAGTGATGAGGTGGTGATAATATTGAAATGTAGATGGAGGGGCACTTGGGAAAAAGAAATTCTCTTATCGCTTGTTATCGCTTCAGTGAGTGTCATTCAACCTTTCATCCCCGTATTGGCGTATCCACCCACCAGATCAGTCATTTTTAAACAAGCTCGGGCTTTGAAGCCTTCATTTTGGTGAAATACATATTTGATGGCATTCAAGTACTTCATACTAAGAATACAATTCTTCATTGCCGTTGAACTAGAACATTAGAACCAAAATTGATATCCTTCATCGATTAGTAAGAACAGTTGAAAGTTCAATTGATCCCTCACTTAATCATAACTATCCACCCATTGCCGTCTCTCTTTCTCCCGCAGCCAATGCTTCACGAGGTGCGAGCGTATCACACTAAATTCCGGTGATTTGGTACAAGATACATACTCAAGTGCCGTCAAATGTACTCTATCTGGGCGTCTGACAAATTTTACAATCGTTGGATCTAAAAGTCTCCGAGAATGTTTCGAATAGAGCGCGGGAACGGGAGTCTTACGGCTTCTTACCACGAAACCACGATGGCGGAGATGAGCTCAAGTGTTGGCACTCGCCACGAATTCATGTTACTATCCGTGAAAATTCGATCGGGGAACACAACATTGGTTAATTGCGTGTTTCCTTATTTTGTTTTTTTGCTTGGCAGTATGTTAAGAATTTATTTCCAAGGGTATCTATCAGGTGAGAATCATGAGATGATGAGAGATTCTGACAGTGTAGGTAGTTAGCTGCATGAGAAGTTCTGTGAGTAGATGGTTTATGGAGTAAGCCTTACAAGTCCAGAAAGGTCTGAGCGATTCATTCGTCGATCTCCCCGTGAAGTAATTTCCACATGTCCACTTAGATAGATCATAGCATCAAAATTTGTTTAGCATCTTATCTTTTTCTCCGAAGTAGGACTGGAGGTGCAACCATCTTTGCGCTGATGTCTACTTTCTTCAACTCACCGCGGACGCGTGTGCTTGAGGACATCGATGTAACATTGCACAACGGGACGACACTGCATTATGCAGGAGAACGATTCAGGTACACTTCGAGGGCATGGTCCGAAAACCAATGGAGAAAGCATACTGGTACCCTTTGAGAATTAATTCCTTGTTCGTGCCACCGAGTTGTTGACGCTGATGTTATCACCGAACTGTTCCTGAGTCCGTAGGAATATGAATCAATCAAATGGTCGAGAGTGAGCGGCTGACAAAAGAAAGATCATTGCCGCCCTTTTTACATCATGATCATACGTACATGTGTTGGAGTGAGGGGCGAATATTAGATAGTGTCATTGCCGCCGATTATTGTAACGCTTCACGGACATTTGTTTGGAGCTGTTCTTTGGTCACGTCGAAGCTCAACAATACTGCACATAATGAATGCTATCCACAGCATTTCACATAGGACGACCTTCAATCAGAATCAGCGATAGGCTTTCTCAATATCTCATCGAGGGATCTGTGTTTTGAACTTGATGTGCTTGTAAATACTCACATGTGTATCCCAATTATGGAAATACCAGCCACATTCAAATCACACCCAAAAGCGAAAGGATCAAGAAGCTCATCTCGGCCATAACCCAGCCAAGGTTCGGCACGATGGAATGATCCTTATCATGATTTCATCGAGGCTTATTAACATGAGAATGAAAATAAGACGTCGTTACAATCTTTACTTTATCGTATACTCCTAATGTCACGCTGAAAGGATTAAAGATTATTCATAGGATTTTAAGGTTACCAGGGAAACTTTATAGTAGATGGGTGATCAAGTGGATTTAAGATCTAATTAATCCAGCGACAGACAGGGAGAAGAGGAGATAAGGTCAATGATCTAAAATTGTAATTGCCATAACTATCACAATGATTTTCTAGTATGATAGGTAGACCGACCACCAGAATGTGAATAATCTCCTGTTTTCATCATTATAAAGACTCACCTCCACAGGGTCGGACAATTAAATGATTTTCATGACGTGCAGTAACACTCTATCCCATTTGACAAATCAACTCCAAATTAGAAAATTGGATGAATGTATAGTTGGTTGGTGGTCTAAATGCGACAAGAATGATATGGGATAGGACATATTTCGAAACTTCAAAAGCTTAAGGGCAGATCATTTTATCCACTAGATTTTCATGAGGTTAAATTAAAAGCGCCCCTAGGGGGGAAAGGACGGAAAAGAAACATCTATCCCTAGAATGGGACAGTTGATTGGTGAGAGCTTCAACTGTGTTTGGATGGGAACTAATGATCTAGACTGATTGACTGGGTTTGCCGTTTCAAAACCATAAACTAAACGCCAAGTAGCCGAGTTAGTTAAGAATGGATATCCCTTTTTTGTCAATGGGCTCGATAGGGTATAGAAATGACTGGGATATTTCAAAGGGATCTGTATTTGGTGCCTGTCAGTGGCCCCTGCAAACTGTTTGCCCCTTCCTGATATCTTTCCTTTCCACTCAGATAGCCCCCAATGGCTTACTAAGATCCATGTAATCAATCGGATGGTGTTAATCCGGACGTCAGGAACTACTACTAACTAGAGACCGAGACCAACAAATTTCTCATTCTCGACGATTCGACCACCCTTCCTTCACACTACAATATGGCTTCCTACCTCCATGGCGATTCACTTGGAAGTTGGAGCACATTTCCGCCCGGATCTCTTTCTTTCCTTCTCACACTCCCTGACCTTACCAAACGTTTCATTTACTAACCTGTCATGTTGGAAATATTTCACTTTAATTCTTTAATTCTTGGGTAGCAAATAGGAATCAGACATGGGGAAGATAGAACCGTGTCACTCTATCTAGTTTCCCCTGCATCCCGATTCTGGGCTGAGTCTTTTTTTTTATTTACCTCAATCTTCCTTCATACATAGGTATACTAGCGTATATTCATATGGTTTCCCGCGTTGAGGTGGGTACCACTGCATATTGTAAGAGACTACAGGTCACAGTCATATAATATAAGATTCCATACTTTTCTGTATTGTGTGTGCTTCTTTTCCTCACCCTCTTTTGAACTTTCTCCTCAACACACTTTCGTACTTTTGTACACCACATTCATTTATTCATTCTCTGCGTGCTATTCATTCCTTCATTTGCTACTCTGTTGATACAGAATCTTCTATTCCATCAAATACCAATTGAGGCCAGTCACTCTTGTGTTTTTCGTTCACTTTTCAACCATCCATCGGCTTTCAAAACAGTCATTTTACAAATACCAGCACCATTAGACTTGAATACATTTCAAAGTACATATTCTACACCCAAAATCCTCATTTCCACTCACTCCGCCATTATGGTTTTCTCAAAATTGGCCCTCGTGAGCACATTCGCCGCTTCGGCCACTGCATACTCTGCGACTGCAAGAACTTTCGCTGTCAACCATTTCTATGGAACAGGACCTCTTCTTACCGCCCGTATAGACCCAATTGTCAATCCAGGAACCGTTGGAACCCACGTTCATGCGATCCAAGGAGGAAGTGCTTTTGGTATGACGATGGGGGACACCACTGCTTTAGATGATTCTAACTGCACTTCCTCCCTTGTCAAGAATGATAAGAGCAATTATTGGACCCCTTCCTTGTATTTTGTCGATCCAAACGATCCCACCAATATTACAGCCGTACCTATGTTCTATATGAACGTTTACTACTTGTAAGTGACGGATTCTATACATTTCGATAAGAGACATACTGATAGCTCAAAAGCTTCGAGCCCACAACCGACAAGATCACCGCTTTCCAGCCAGGTCATCGAATGTTAGTAGGAAATGCAGCTCTTCGTACTCCTCCAGCAGGAGGTGGAGGATCCATCGTCGATTATTCCCTCGGAACACCCCAACCAATCCAAGTTACCTGCCCACGTACCAACTACGATACTCCATCTTACCCCGCCGACTCAGACGGATTACACGGAGTAGGAATTCAGGACCCGCAAAACAAAGGAGCAGGTGTTGGATTTCCAGATCAAAATTGTGATGGATTTGCTTCGCCAATGCGTCTCGATGCTCACTTCCCTTCATGCTATAATCCTGCTGCGGGGTTGACTGATTACAAAACAAACATGGATTGGCCTACCAAGGGAAATTGTCCTGAGGGTTGGATTCATACTCCTCATATATTCTATGAGGTTTATTACAACACTCCCCTCTTTGCAAGTCAATGGACCCCGGGTCAAGGAAAACAACCTTTTGTTCTTGCTAATGGAGACCCAACTGGTTATGGATTCCATGCTGATTTTGTAAGTTGATATCTTTTCAAATAAAGTGTCATCAATATACTAACAGATTCATAGATCTCAGGCTGGGATGTAGAAACTCTTCAGCAAATCATCGATAACTGCGACGCAGGTGATAGTGGTATGGATAAATGCCCAGGTCTCATCGGTGGTCTCAACGATCCAACCACATCCTGCACTATCAAATCACCAATCGATGAAATTGTTAACGGTACTATGTCTGTGTTACCAGGTAGTAACCCTATCGGACAATGGGGCTCTGGTGTAGCCAGCGTCGCTTCTTCTGTCGTCGCATCTGCCACTTCTGGTATTGCTTCTCAAGCTTCTTCAGTAGCTGTCAGTGCTTCTTCAGCTGTGTCTTCAGTTGTATCTGGTGCTTCTTCAGTTGCTGCTTCGGTGTCCAATGTTGCATCATCTGCACTAGGAGTTGCTACATCAGCAGCAAGTATTTCCATCCCAAGCATTTCTCTACCCCTCTATCAAGCACCAACCTCAACCGCATCCCAAAATTCTCAAACCCATACCCGCAGCGTCGCTTCCACAAAAGTCGCAGCTGCATCATCAGCTGCCAGCGAGGTCGTATCTTCCAGCGTCATCACATCCGGAGGCCAAGTCTTCACATCCATCGTCACCGTCCACGCTTCTACACTCATGTACAAAACCGTCTCGGTCACTGCAGGTCAAGTTCTTCCTACCGGCTCTAGCGTCTCTTCTAGTACTCCGGCTGCTATCTCCGGATACTCATATGCTGGTTGTTACGCAGATCAAGAATCCAGTCGTGCGCTCTCTGGCGTCACATTTGCCGATGTGGGTAAAGGTGCTGTTTCCAACTCAGCGTGTGTGGCATACTGCGAAGAAAAGGGATATAGTGTTGCGGGAACAGAATACGGAGGACAATGTTTCTGTGGACAAAGTTTACCAAGCCAGACCGTAGATGCGAGTAAGTGTGCTATGGCGTGCGAGGGAGATGCAAATGAGATTTGTGGGGGTTCCTTAACACTGAGTGTTTATTCTAAGAATAGTGCGAGTAAGAGAAAGTCGAGACACTTGCATAGACATGTGCAGAGGAATTAGACTGGTTCTAGCGAGTGGTATCTCCATCATTTTGGGATATGCAGTGAGCTGGTGACTCTGCATCATATGGATGCTAGCGATAGATGGTGTGGAGGAAACATACACAAACATGACATTCGTTCTCGCAAGGCGAGCCCTTTTATTCTTTCTACTTTCTTTTTTCTTGAACAAATTTTAGAGATCTTGGAGCAATTTGATAGGGTAGACAAACCTTTTTGATAAAGTATCTCGAACAATCACGTCTTCTCACCTCATGCTTTTTTGTGGATTGTAAGCTAGATTGAGATGTGTATGGTAGTTATGAAGTTTATGAATTGATGATCTTTTGATTGCTTTATGTTGTATCGAGCAGTATGCTATGATTTGAGTTTGTGATTTTTTGTCTTGTGTAGTCTGTGTTTTGGTGCTGCGGAGTATTGGATTGGAATGGGGTGATGGGGTTTGTGGAGGTGAGGAGGGGAGGATATAGAGTGAGCTCTGTAATGGGCTAGTTGTATTGTTGGATGATGAGCTATTTGAGAATAGCAGAGTGATAGTTTGAATTGAATCAGAATATCGATGTGCAATAAATGGGATATTGACATGAGTTTAAATAATTATATCAAGTAGGTAGGATAATGAATGATAGATACACGCTGGAACGAAGATATGAATGGGAAGAATGATGTGAGTTGGATATGTGAATAGATTGAGATATTGCGATGGATGAATTTGGATAGTTGGGGAAATGGGAAGAATGGGAAGAATGATGGAGATTGGATGGTGATGTGAGGTGGGTGAGTGACATGAGTTAGATTGGATAATGAGTTTGATGGAATCGATGATACGGATTGGGAGAATAATGCCAATTGGAATTGCAATGCGGACCTCGATATGAGGTGAGAGAATAAATACCATGCTTTGGATTAATGATTTGATTTGATATGTTTTGAGATGATAATACAATTGGAATAATAATGTAGGTGGAGATGTTGACATACATGAGTTGGGAAATTATATTGGGAAGTAGTGGAACAATGATAGATATTGGGACAATTATCCTTAAATCAAATAGGATAATAATATATATCGGAATTACAAAATGGATTGGAATATTGATATAGATTAAGATGATGATAATAATAATAATAATAATAATAATAATAATAATAATAATAATAATAATAATAATAATAATAATAATAATAATAATAATAATAATAATAATAATAATAATAATAATAATAATAATAATAATAATAATAATAATAATAATAATAATAATAATAATAATAATAATAATAATAATAATAATAATAATAATAATCGGGATAATAATAATAATAATAATAATAATAATAATAATAATAATAATAATAATCGGGATAATAATATCAATATGAATCAATATGAATCAAGACAACCAACCATACGAACGAACGAACTGGGACAACTATAGTGTTTTGAAAGGGAGCAGAGAGAGATAAATAGAAGAATTGCGCAATAGGAGGGTTTTCTTGATACCTAGGTAGTGATCTATTCATTCATTCATTCATACATACATACACAGCGATACAGTCACGGCTTTTGAGGTTCATCTTGAATCTTGATCTCAACGATTTCTCGACACTATTTGGCGAAGCGATGAATACTGAATGCTGAATATAGATATAGGGGTTTCTCTGTATTCTTAGGGTTAATCTATAAATAATATTGTAACTATATATTTTATTCAATCAATAAATTAACTTCAATCTACACATCGTCTCCCGAGTCCCCAGGATCGATACCGTGAGCTATCATTCGGAAAGAAAAATATATACTATCTGAATAGGTAGATAGATACTGATCACATAACTACAATATAATAAAATTCATTCTCTAACCATGCTATGAATATTCCGCACTATGTTGATGAGAGATGATGGTATGACAGTATGATTTGGACAGAGGGGTGATGGATGGATGGATGGATGGATGGATGGATGGGAATGAAGCTATGTTGAGATGGTTTAATGGTTACTCGAATATCAGATATATTTATAAATCTATATATATCCCACCTCGACCTCAAAATCCACTCTTCCACCTACCTACCCACTACCAATCCACTACCCCTCTTACCAAAAAAACACCAAAAATCCCCCTTTCCCTTCTCCCCCCCAACTTCCAACTCTTTGCTCCGCGCTCGCGACCTCCATATCCCACTAACCCCCCATCCAGATTTTCAAATTTGGAGACAAAATCCTCGAAATCCATCATTTCCTCCTTCCTCTCTGTGAAATACAACTGCCATTCACTTCGATTCAATACTAAATAACTGACTAGAGTATTGTGGGATATCTCCAAGAATGTGGATATGGATACCTGTCTACGTGATTTTCCACGGACAATAATTGCGAGGGAGGAATATCAACAACTTTATTGCATGCACAGCACCAAGATTCACTAGATGAGAAGCGCAGAAAGATTGAAGTAGCTACTACGCAGGTCAGAAGACTGTTGGCTGTGTATGGATGGTGATTGAGGATGAATGATCTCGCTCGCTACACTAAGAAAACTTACTCTCAACACCGAAGGAAATCCTCTTTCCCCTCCTTTCACCACACACTTTCAACACCATATCCCCTTCCCTATCTTCAACAGGACTCTCGCACTGTGGCACCTGCTCCTCCAAATTCGCCCCCACTACCACCGCCGCCATAAATATCTCCATCGCGGCCTCCGCGTCATTACCTCGTATCCTTCATAATGCCCCCCTTTCGCAAATGCAGATACGCACTCTTAGTAGAGATCACGTCACTTCTGTAAAGTCAGATACCTATCATTGCCATTTCTTTCATAACACCAACACGAAAGTCCCTCTCATCTAAAGCCATTCAAGACCTTGAATGCATTCATAATAAAACCATACTAACAAAGCAAAATTGAGAATTCAAAATTTTACGACGCTGTAAGCGACAAGATCAACACCTATGATTTCATTCACAACCTTGGATGCATGGTAGATATTGTTCCTATCTTGTTGCAGAATCCGATACTGTCTCCATTACCATGCCCATACGACTTTCGCGTTCTCCAAACATTTACCAATATCTAGAGTGACATCGTAAACAGCAGTGGACAAACATACTGTATATCTGGCGCACTGTGTATTTGAGTAGTCATAAAGAGCATCAGAGGACACCCCAGACTTAGGATTGGGGAGACTTATTGTACAAATTTGGGCATGACTGAAATGTCACGGATGAGGTCATTGACAACAATGGGTTTAGAGATATAGCGAGTGCACAAAGCAAAGTTTTGAGTCACCCCCAAGGACCCTTGCCGTGTCTTTAGTTTACAAGTAATTAACAAGGTCAGAACGTATTTATTCAAAGAGGACATACAACAAGGTTGCGATGTTATTATTATCAGTGGATAAATTTCGCTTTCACTTTGATTTTCTTGTGAAATCGGATTGGAGTTTGAGAATTAGAGTATGTACTGATACTGATACAAACAGCAATTTCAGTGGCTTATCGATGTTTTCACTCGCAGCTTAGGGCTTGAGCATGTATGATAGAATGCGATAGAAATGGTACAAAGTAGTAGGATAGATATGAAGGTGAATTGGTGTTGCCCGAAGAATTACCCTTCGAGACAGACATTGTTCGAGTATAATCTCAAACCGGTACTCATAACTACGCTCGAGTATTATTATGAAAGCAAAAAGGGTAAAAGGATATCATAAGAAAGGTCTTTCCGATACAATGTCCGCTTTGCTGGGCACACTAATGTCCAATCGAACTTTAGGGCCATAATCTCAGAAGTGTATACGTGCGTACGGGAATGTAGGCTGAGAATCATGAATGTCGGTTGAAGTCAAATAAATGTACGATGTTTATTAACCTGATAAGCTCGCCCTATACTTGAATGACACGCGATTGACATGCCATTTTTCTAACAATACAGAGTCAACTTGATAAGCCGTGGCCAATGTCAATGTCAATTGACTAGATATACTTTATATCAGATTTGTAACTTGTTGAGAAAAAAATATAAGTGTCGGTCAATATCAGAATTGAAGTCTTTCATTCGATGAATATGCAATACCCATACGAGTACATAGGTTGTTTAAGAAGTGTGCAGGTATCCTAGAGGTAAAACGATCGAATCGAACTGTTTACCCTTATTGCTCATCTGTACACTTAAGCCTCGATGATCGCGTGTGTGCGCGGGATTGGAAACACTCGCTTCCTTTGATTCATGTGGTTTAATATGAGGGGTAAGATGTATGTATGATACATATCATAATCGTAGATATCTTCTGAAACAAATCAAATCAAACGAAAAGGAATATTCCGAGAAGGTGTAAGAAGACTTGCCAACACAACCCATATCTGCTTTCATGGTAGTGGATTTGAGGCACGGCATCATCATCATCAATAAAGCGAAAGATTCTTGATCGCCTCAAGGTTCAGGTCTTATGATGTTATTGGGTCCTTAAGTGGTTTCCAAGTTTTCATCCATCCATGGTACACTAGGTACATTTTGTCAAGGTGTGAAAAGTGTATGCATGCAGCGGTATGTACCCCATGCCAGGGATTCCTTTGGGTCTTTGTTTAGCATTGTTGGAACGTTGGGTTGTAGTCTTTGAGTGAGTTTCTTGTGAAGAGAATGAATGCATGATTTTCTTGAGTTGTAAAGATGGAGTATTCAAAGTAATAGGAATCTTCTTGCGTGTCAGTTAAGACTATGTGGAAAGAAGTGATTTTGATTTTAATTTTAATTTTGATCGACCACCAGCCTATGAAGTTGTGCGACATCGGCGATACGTTCATCGGTGAATGTTAAATTGTACTCCGACTTCGTATACTTCTGGATGAAAATGGAGAAAGCATAGCGATACTCGCTCCTATACGAAGTATCCAGTACCGACCGATCAAAGGCAAAGGAGTTCTGTGGGGAAATGCTTGAAAGGGAATGTGGTTGGCTGGTTGGCTATGGCCCTTTAAGAAGGAGATGGAGATGGATGTTTATTTAAGGGTCCAACCAAACCAGGGTCAAAAGGGAAAAGGACAAACGCATGTGATCAATGTTGCATGAATGAAGGAGGAGATGGATGGGATGGGGCAAGGGAAATGAATGGGGCGATGAAGATGAGATGCATCATACTGTCGATTTGATGGGAATGAGTTGGGAGAGATGGACAGGACAGGGAGAAGATAGGATTGATATAGGAAGATGAAGATGTACACTAGGTACCTAGTAGGTATGTGCAAGAATTATCGACAATGAGGATGAGAGTGAGGATGAGAGTGAGGATGAGAGTG